TTGGAGCTACTCCAACCTTTTCACATATATGCTCATTTCACGTTCAATCTCTTAGAGTAAAGCCACTCATCCCTTGAGCATCCTCATCTCTGCAACAATTAACTTAATTTTATGCGTCTCTTTTAATGACTAGCATTCTACACCATAAACCATTGCAAATCTTTCCACCATCTTATAAAATTTATAGCATTTAGACAATAGAAGAAAATATTATGCATTCATCAAATAATCTTATGTTTAAGAATTGAGGCCCTGTCTCCAATCATAAAGCAAAGAAATTGAAATCCATAAAAAACTTAATTGCTAGGCTTTTATAATAAGCATGAACTACAAGCAAAGTTTGAGTAGTGTGAGAAAGCAAAATTGTGGATTCACTATTATAACCTGAATCAGTCCGGTTTCTCCCGTACTCCCAAGCAGTTGCTTCGACTCTTCTTTCGCTTGAATCGCGAACCAGCCTAGCTCACCTCTGTTACCCTCACACGCGTCTCTTCCTCACGATTTCTTTTCCTATTTGAAAGATTCTCCCACATATAACATCCCTCTCATACCATTTAAACCTAATAGGGACTTAGGGCATCAAATTTCTACTTCTTCCCTTTTGCAGCAGTTGCCGTATCCACCCTTCTCCTTCCTCCTAGCCCCTTTTTCGCAACAGCAACCAACAATGATTCCTTCCTCCAATAGATAGTTCAAACCTTGTCTTTTCTGATGTCCTTCATTCTTTCTTCTTTATTGCCAAGGAATAGGATGGATGTTCTATCTTTTGTAGAGTTTAGGTTATTTGATTCGTATTGTGTGGAAATACTATTATGATAAGTTAATCTTTCTTTGGGAGGAATTCTTGTTTATCTTTGATGTTCAAATTGTTATGTTATCATTTAGGCTTGATTAAGGATATTCATTATATTCCTATATAGAAATATTGAAGCTCGGATATGTAAACCTTTTATTTCAAGCATTGGTGTATTCATCATGATTCTTTTATAGGGCCTTCGAGTCGTGGCCCTCATAGCACTGTCAATTGATTATCGTTTAGGCTTGAAGTTTCGTGTCGCTTGTCTAAAGGTAAGTAACTGTTATTTACTTTGGGATAATTGTAACCTTCTTTGTTAATGGCTCTATATTCTTGTTGCATGTGAACAAAGTTTTTTTAGAAGCTCAAGAGTTATTTGGTGTATGTGCCTATTCTCACCACTCCTTTTAGTACCGATGGATTTCAGATATATAGTGACATTTCACATCAAGGCTTGGGATGTGTCTTAATGCAATACGATAAAGTGGTGGCTTATGAATCCAGATAGCTTAAGGTGCACGAGAAAAATTACCCTACTCATGACTCAGAGTTAGTTGCAATCATTTTTGCACTAAAAATCTAGAGGCATTACCTTTATGACATTCACTGTGAGATTTTTACTGATCATAAGAGCTTGAAATATATTTTTACTCATAAGGAGTTGAACTTAAGGCAAAGGCGATGACTTGAGTTAATGAAGGAACATGATTTGCAAATTTAATACCATCCAGGCAAAGCTAATGTGATGGCAGATGTTTTAAGTAGGGAAGTCTTCATCTTATACAACTTGGATGATCACTCAGGAGTGACAGTTAGTGTATGAAATAGAGCAACTACAGCACGAGATAGTACCAACAGGAGGCTACTTTGCTATTTATCATATGTCTATTCAGCCGATGATTATGAACCGGATTCATGAAGCTCGAATGGAAGATATAGAGCTGATGCAGATTAATGATCAAGTTCAGAACAAATTGAAGCCGGATTTCACTGTTGATCAGATGACTGCCTTAAAATTTAAAGATTGACTATGTATTCCAGACCATGTCGAACTTCGCAGGACATACTTCGGGAGGCGCACACCACTCCGTATTCAGTTCACCCAGGAAGCACGAAAATGTATTAAGATATTAAGAAGCTATTTTGGTGGCCTGGTATGAAGAATAATGTGGCAAGTTCATAACCAAGTGCTTGATGTGTCAGATGGTCAAGGCAGAACATCAGAAACCTTGTGATATATTGTAATCTCTTCATATTCCAGAATGGAAGTGGGAGGAGATTGCTATGAACTTCGTAATGGGCTTGCCCATATCAAAGCAAGGTCATGATGCAGTTTGGGTCATAATTTATAGGCTTACCAAGACATCTCACTTTCTGCTTATCAAGCAGATGACTTTGTGGAAAAGCTAGCAAGGATCTATATGAATGATATTGTTCGACTACATAGGATTCCTCTTGTCATCGTGTCTGATAGAGATGAGAGATTTACTTCAAGACTTTAGAAGAAAGTGCAAGAAGCTTTGGGTACGAGGTTAAATTTCAGCACTTCTTTTCACCGACAGATAGATGGTCAGTTGGAGTGCACCATTCAGACATTAGAAGATTTCTTAAGAGCCTGCATTCTTGACTTTTGTGGAAGCTGGGAGGACTACATTTTCTTGGTGGAATTTTCTTACAACAATAGCTTTCAAGCTAGTCTCGGCATGACACCTTATGTGGCACCTTATGAGGCTCTTTATGGTAGAAAGTATAGATATCATTTGTGTTGGTTTGAGGGTAGTGAGAGGAAGCTCTTGAGACCTCAATTGTTTAATCAAGCTACTGGGAAGATTCATCAAATATGAGAAAGGTTTTGTTTAGTTCAAGAGCGTTAAAAAACATATTTTGCTCCTCAGCATAAGAATGTTGAATTCGAGGTTTGTGATCATGTGTTTTTGAAGGTTTTACCCATACCTGGAGTTATCAGATTTGGCAAAAGTGGAAAACTTCATTCCCGTTTCATTGGACCTTTTGAGGTGTTCGAGAAAATCGGTAAAGTTTCTTATAGATTGGCTCTTCCTCCAAGGCTTGCAAGAGTACATAATGTCTTTCATGTATCGCTTCTCTGGCGCTACATACACGACAGATCTCACATTAGTCAGTTTAACCCTTTGTTGATTCAAGAAGATCTGAACTATGAAGAGGTACCAGAGCACATTTTTGGAGCGTGAAGTTTGATAGCTTCGTCGTCGATCTATTCCATTTGTCTGAGTGCTTTGGAAGAACCAGTCAGAACAGGAAGCCACTTAGGAGATTGAAGAAGAGATGATCGTGAAGTACCCACAACTATTTTTTTAACTAAGGTATTTATGAATTTGGTGTCCAAATTCTTTTAAGGGAGGTAATATGTTATAACCCAAAAAGGACACCCGAATCGATCCGATTTCTCCTGCATACGCAAGCAGCCGCCCCGACTGTTTCTTAGCCTAATCACGAACCAGCCGAGCTCGCCTCCTTTAGTCTCACGCACATCTCTCCCTCGTGATTTCTTTCCTTATTTGACACTCTCTCATCTATATCATCCCTCTCATACCATTTAAACCTAATAGGGACTCAGGGCATCAAATTTCTCCTTTTTCCCTTATGCAGTGGTCGTCGTATGCTTCGTTCTCCTTCCTCCTCGCCCCTTTTTAGCGATAGCAGCCTGCAACGATTCCTTCCTCCCATAGTGAGTTCAAACCTTCTCTTTTTTCCCCCTCCTCCCTTCGTTTTTTTCCTTTATTGCCAAGGAATAAGAGGGATGTTCTCTCTTTTGTAGAGTTTATGTTATTTGATTTTTATTGTGTGGAAATACGCTTATGATAACTTTATCTTTATTTGGGAGGAAGTTTTTTGTAAGTTATAAAGATCATTTATAATGAATGATAAAACAAAATTTTAATCAAAAGATTTTCAAGTCCATCAATCTGCAAAATGTTTTTCTTTCCATTCTAGAAAATGATATATATAAAAGCTTATGATCTCTAGTAGAACATTTGCAAGTTATCAATGTCATTTGTGGTTGAGGGAAAAGTTTTATTTATGTTTGATGTTCAAATTGCTATGTTATCATTTAGGCTTTATTAAGGAAATTCATTATATTCCAATATAGAATTATTGAAGCTATGGTTTGTAAACCTTATGTTTCAAGCATTGGTGTATTCTTCATGATTCTTTTGTAGGGTGTTCGAGTCATAACCCTTGTAGCGTTGTTAGCTGATTATCATTTAGGATTGAAGTTTTGTGTGCTTGCCTAAAAGTAAATAACTGTTATTTATTTTGAGATAAATGTACCCTTCTTGGTTAGGGGCTCTATATTCTTGTTGCTTGTGATAGGTTTTCAAATATTACGTTGCCAGTTCTATTTCCAATATTAATTAACATTGTGTTATGTCAAAAAGCTTTTTTATGGCCCATATTGAAATCATCATGTGATAGAAATATTATTAATTAATTTGTTGATGCATGAACTTTTAGCATTTAAAATGGTTCTTGTTGTAAAAGGTTAAATTCACATACATTAGTTTTATTCAATACAATATATAATTCTCATGTTGTAAATCATTTTGGTTATATAAATTATAATCGTCATGTTGAATTATATAAAACATGTTGATTATTTGTAATAGCTTTTTCACTGTGTGATTATGTGTATGTCGGTATAATTCTATTGATTTTTGGCTAGCCGAGGTTAACGGGCCCTCAGAGTGACAACTCTATAAGAAATCATTGAATTTCCTTAGGTTGGTGTTTTCCATCATGGTATGTGTATATGATAAAACGACAACAAATGTATATGTTTAAATGTAAGAGAATATTAACAAACATGAATTGGAAGTAATAAATGAATGTAGGTTATTTTGAGATATGATGATACTTAGTGTGATTGTATTTTTTGGCATTTAAAATAATTACATTGATAGTAACTTACCACATACATTAATGTCACTAACATATTAAATTTCTTTTATAACAAACATGACATATCTCATGGAGATTTTGATTTTCTCATGGATATTTTGATTTTGGGAATATAGATTATTATTCCTCTCTTTAGGTTGTTACTTCTATCATTTGATTGTCCATATTGTATGTCTCATTTCTTTTGTCGTTTATGCTTTTATAGATAGTAGTTACTTACAGAGTTTGATTTATCAAACTCACATGTTATCTTTTTTTCACTAAGTTCAACAGGCGTGTTTGGTATACCACTACTTCAGGAGCAGAATTATTAGCAGTAGATTATTTTTTTGTATTTATTATTTTATAGTAGTTTATTATGTTTGTGTGCATTTAGAACTGGGTAGTTTATTTCTTGCTTTTGCTATATTTACATTCATGTTGGCTTGTATCAGAATTATTATTATTTGGATGTATTGGTTAATTGAACTTTTATTAATGGATTGGCTTCATTTCACTTCATTTGTTTACTCTGATGCATATATATATATATATACTTAGGTAGAACAAGTTGGGGCCCAAGGTGAGCTAGTTTGGCCGCAAGGAGAACAATTTAGAGCATAGGGGAGAGAAAAAAGGATTAAAATGAACAAGTTAGCAGATGTTTTCATGTGAGATTAAACGAAGAAGATGCTGAGAGGTATCCTAGTGCTAATTTTGATGTATACGATAAGTTTAGATGTTACATAAGTAAATATTAAAATTAATATTAGAAACATATAAATAATAAAATTTCAAATGCTATGCATGTAAATCCCCCAAACAAATATCCTGATTTTTTTTAACTTCTTTCTGGTATCAAGAACAAATGCATATATTGAATATGCCAAAACTTGTTAATTTTGCATTGCAAATCCTACAAGAGATAGCTAACGATGTAATTTTATTCTTCCATTAAAGGCTCACAAAATCAGACGTCCTATGCGATCACAATGAAAAAGAAAATCAAATCAAATCAATTAGTATAAGCAACAAAGAAAGAGACTTCACCGGCCATTAAAAAGACACTGATCATGACTTCTTCTTCAACATGGAGGTCGGGTTGCCATCGAAGAGATCTTCTATATAAGATTCAAGATCATCTGGCCCAAACTTAATATACTTCTCCGTCTGTCTTCCAGGATCCAAATACTGGCTGAATCGCCCGAGAAATGACCGATATGCCGGCACCACCACTGCCGATACAGATACCCTGAGCTCCGACTGCAACTGTTCATCGCTCACCAACCACCCGCTCTGTGTCTTGTGTATTTCCTCAAACATGGAGTTAAAGCTCTTGAATCTCTCCTTAAGCACTGGCTTCAAAACTGAACCTTTCACCTGCAAACCTTCGTCTTTGAAGCATCCCAGTACCTTAGACCATGTCTCCCGTTGATAGTTCTTGTGGTACTTTCGTAAATCGGACGATTTCTTCCTGCACCAAGTCTCCCCTAAAAGCTCTTTGATTTCTGCAGAACCTTTGATCTTTTGCACTATGTATCTCCCATTGTTCATCATGAAGATGTTGCTGAGGGCTAGGTCTTTGTAGAGCTTTGCCTTTGATTCCAGGTTGGCATTGAGCAGGTCCATTACTTGGACTACCTGGGAAGCAAATAAAGGGCTTTGGCCGCTACTCCCCGCCCAGCGACTGCAGTCGCGGGCTGAGTTGTCATCACCGTCGCCGTCGTTGCTGTATGAAGACGGCGACGTCGACATCGACCTGTCTACTTTTCGGTGATCTTTGAAAACTTGCTCGAGCGTGTTCTTGTACTCGCAGGCGTATTTGAGGTAGTTCAAAACATAACGGGTGAGGGGATGAACGGCGCCGCCGGGGACGGGGGCTTTAGCTGTATCGGATTTGATGGAGATCTCCAAATCGCAGAAAATAAAAACGGCTGCTTCGCCGAGGCGGGTGCGAACAGAGGACAGATCCATCTTGATGTCTTCGTCGACGGTGTGGGAATCGAAGATCTCATCGAGTTTCGGGATCATATCTCGAAGGGCTTCGTACATGTCGAGAACTTTGAAGAGCTTTTCGGCGGAGCGCTTGACCATGGATACTGCTTCGGCGAAGGTGAGGAGTTGGATGAGGAGGCTGCGGGCAAGGCTGCGGATAATGGCGTCGACAATGGGGCGATGGGGACCATCGAAGACGCTTTCGCAGAGCTCGCGTTCGCGTGGGATGGAGATGGTGATGGCGTGGCGAAAGGCTTTGGTCCACGAAGCAATTTCGGATTCTAGAGTTTCCCAAGGCATGCGAAGAATGTCATCGATGCTTATTTTATCAAAACCGTTGTCGGAGAGGCTGGCATCCATGGCGTTGCGCCGCGCGATGGTGTAAACTTGGCAGCACTCTGTTTCGTAGCCAGAGGTGATCATGGCGCTGGCAATGTGGCGGAGACGGGTGGTGCTTTGGTGATCAGGGTGAGGGGATGTCAGGTCAGCGGAGGGGGAATCAGGAGTCGCGGAATGATCGGAGAGATTGGGTTGGAGAACGCAGCGATCGGGCTCGTGTACGAGACTGAATGACGGGCGGCGTTTAGGCTTGGATGCGCCGGAGGTGGAATCCGAAGGGGGTTTCCTCGACTTGGAGGAAGATTCGTTGACAAGAATGGAATGAAACTCGTCTTCTAAGAATGCCATGGCGTGGTGGACGACGGCGCCGATTTCGTTCATGGCTTGGTAGTACTGGGGTTCCGAGCCGGAGAATTCAGAGAGGGCGGCGCTGAGTTTAGAGGCGCGGTCGACGGAATCGAGAAACGAGGCAACTTCATGGGAATCCGAAGAAGACCATCGATCGCCGCCGCAATCGTACTTGGCGATCTCTTTCTCGAGCAATGCGCCGAAGCGGGAAATGGCGATATCAGGAATCTCCGGAATGGTCTCCGGCGAATTGTGGAGGATTGCGAGGAACTGGTCGATGTCATCGGAGAGGGAAAGGAGATCGTAGTGGTCGGGGATTTCTCCGGCCGTTGTGGCTGTCTCGTCGTTGTTGTCCTGCTTCTCATTAGCGGGTGAATCTTCTTTCTCTTCTCGTTCCTCATTATCGTCTTTTTCTACCTTGTTTGCGTCGGCGACTTCAGCGACGTCCTCGGAGATGGGATGAAAGTGGAGAGAGCTGAGGGAGAGGTTGCGATCGGAGCCGCGGAGTTTCTCCTCGCGAGAGGAGATGAAGCTAGAGGATTTCTGGGGAATGTGAGAATGGGTTCGTTCCATTGTTTTTGTTCTTCTTTGCTGCTATCCAAAAGAAGAGAGGACAGATAAAGGAAATGGGCATGAAGGGAAGGGAGGGGGAGACTGAGGAAGATGAGGAGGGGGAGGAGAGAAGGGAAGAGAAGAGGTTGAAACGGTATTGGGGCTTTGCATACGACGAGAGGTTGGGGGAGTAGAAGCCTGCACGATGCGCGCTGGTCGATTAGATAATGGCCAGCCCGGTTTTTAAACAGAATATTAAAAAATAAAAATTAATAAAAACAGCTGTAGTTTATTATTATTATTATTTTTAAAGAAGGCAGTTGTGGTGACCCATTTTAGGGCTATGAAAGAGCTCATTGTTTTTTGTTTGATCATTATTGTGGGCTAGAATATATGCGGTGATAGAGTTGTAATTTTGCGTCTTAGTGTTATACAGATATCCAGCTCACACACAGAGAACAAGATTTTTTATGTGGAAAATCCTGGAAAGGGGAAAAGCCACGGTGCCTAGCCCAGTTGTTTGAGTTGAGTATAGTTGGCTGACTCGTCCTTGAGGGCGATCATATTACAAATGTCAACCGTATGGTTGAAGTCTAGTGTTAAATCTGACGTCACTTGGAAGTTGAGGCGTCAGTTAGTAGTCCGACACTAATTTGGTAGAACTCTAGCGTCAGTTGATGGTCTGGTGGAGTTTAGAGCCTAAAGTGGTGATCTGGCAGAGTTCAGGCCCTTAGGTGGTGGTCCATTGAAGGTGAGAGCCTTAAGTGGTGGTCCGGCAAAGGTGAGGGCCTCAGGTGGTGGTCCGGCAAAGCTGAGGGCCTCAGGCGGTGGTCCAGCGAGGGTGAGGGCCTCAGGCGGTAGTCCAGTAAAGGTGAGGGCCTCAGGGGGTGGTCTGGCGAAGGTGAGGGCCTCAGGCGGTGGTCCGGCGAATGTGAGGGCCTCAGACGGTGGTACGACGAGGATGAGTTCCTCAGGTGGTGGTCCGACAACGGTGAGGGCCTCAGGCGGTGGTCCGGTGAAGGTGAGGGCCTCAGGCGGTGGTCCGGCGAAGGTGAGGGCCTCAGGCGGTTGTCCGGCGAAGGTGAGGGCCTCAGGCGGTGGTCCGGCGAAGGTGAGGGCCTCAGGCGGTGGTCCGGCTAAGATGAGGGCCTCAGGCGGTGTCCGGCGGAGCAACGACGTCAGGGGGTGGTCCGGCGGAACTCAGGCGGTGGTCGAGGAGGAGCTTTTTCCTTCTCTTCTTTTCTTCTCTTCTTGCTTGGATCCCCCCTTTCAAGAGAAATGAGGGGCCTATTTATAGATTTCTAGAGTGACATGAGTGCATGACCCATAAATAAGTAAGAGATTAAGGGTAAATGGGGAGTGGTTGGATGGACAGCCGATGTTGAATCCCTTGATCATGGACTGTTTGATGGACATTTGAATGTCTTAGTAATGTCGGAATTCGATGATCTTGGGCTCGTTGGATTTGTCTCGTCGAGCCGCTCAATTCGACTATAAGCATGTTATGTTTGAAAACCTTTTGGTAATCCAAATTGTGGTTCGAACCTTCAAGCAGCACTTCTAACCCTTGATTTGGACCTGTTTGGGATCGAATTGGGTTGTATTTGGTGTCGTTGGGTTCGTATTCTCGAGACGCTCAGTTCGACTATAAGTTTGCTGAAATCGGAGTTCAGATGGTCCCAATTTTAATTTTGGAAGTACAACTTAATTTTACATCGAGATTCGTTCCCAATCAAGATAAATTTTTGATGACATATCAATCATAAATTATGAGTTTGAATTCTATCAATTTTCATTAAAGAGTAAGATAATTTTTTTCAGCTTTATAATGTGAGATCTTGGAGACTTAGACAAAGTTGAAGTTGATTCGGCTTGGAAAATGCTCAACAAAGCTTCTAGAGAAAGTGCCCGAGGAGAAATTTGTGCAGAGGCCAGACACAGATCGTCATCCGAAGAACAACAAGAATGAGCCACGTTAGCAGTACCGAGTTGCGGCACCGAGCCAGGGTGATGTGGCACATTCTGGTTGGTCTCTGGACGACGTTCGGCGTCCGCACAGAATAATTTATCCCAAGTGAGTGACTGTCTCTAGTCGGCTTGGCGACTCCCTCAACTTAGGTCGGTGACTTCCTCAAGTCGTTGGGCAGTATTACATCATGAGGTTACTAGTTAATATCTGTGCTCAGTTGGGTTATATAGCTTCTGTGCCTGATCTGGTCATTATTTTATAGCTATATATGTAGCTAATCTTATGGTGTCCCAAGCCCTAGCCCAAATCTATAAATAAAAAGTAGAGATAAAATTAAAGTTATGCAATCTCTAAAATTCAAGCCCATTTAAGGAAGTCCAAAGCTTCACTCATTGGAATTCTTTCTCTCTCCTTTTTTTTTTTAACTCTATTTGCACGATACTTTTAGTAAAATTTGGGTGTGACCCATGGACACTTTTGTTTCCATCATCTTAATAGATGAGATGAGCATGTAGTAGTTATAAATAGGAAGATGGGCATTATATAATATAAAGTTGTAGAGTAGTAGTCAATCACTACAAGTCAGCTTGTAGAGTTCAAGGACATGATGACAAGAATGATCTAGGGCTTGTTGGAGCGAATGTCGACAACTAAGTCCCGACATCGAGTTACATTACTAAGGGAAGAACTCAACAAGTGTGTTAAGGGAACCAAGTATTAAATTTACCCAAGCAAATCGGCTAGCAAACAAAAATATGTTCGATGATGCCATTAGTTGTCAAAGGTCTAATCACTAATTATCAAGCATCATAATAGATACAATGAGCTCAGTTAACATCATTTTCAAGAGTGTATGAAAAGATGAGCTTAGGCACTTCTCACCTAGCACGGACTTTTGATCCTCTCTTTAGTTTTTTTCGGGGAACAAATGGGGAACGAAGGAACAATTGTTTTGCCAATCACTTGGGGAGAATAATAAAGAAAAATTATCGCAATGGATCTCTTTATTATAGTCAATGTGCTAACTATTATGTCATCTTCCGCCGAACACTACTCAATATCTACAAGATAGTCATCTCTACCTATCATGTCACTGTGAAGTTTCTAGCCTGATATCTAGTGGACCAAGATTCGAGACTTTAGAAGCTGTTGAAGAGAATTACATTTGATTTTCATCAAATAAAATAACTGCATACATTCTAAACTAAACAGCCCCTTGACAAGATTCGACACTTAAAAGTAATCTCATAAAGAGGCATTGGGACTTTATCAAAAACTCACCAAAAGAGAGAAAATTTGCAGTCTAGAAAAAAATTTAGTAGAAACATGTAATTGCCATATTTGCAGTTCCATAATTGAAAGAGTAGTTTTCTTAATTGCTTTGAAAATTTACAGTCATTACATACCGAAAAAAGAATGGAAAGCAACAATTTAGACAGTCATATAACTAAATGTTCTTTTGACTAAAATACAATCTAAAAAAAATGCATAAAATTTGAGCTCTTGCAGACTCGCTAGGATCCTTGAATAGAGTTCAAAGAAGGCTCTATGCTTCATCAGTAGAAAAAAAATCAACATCATTACACCGAAGTAACAGAACTTAGAAATTTGCTTACAGGACTCTTCTTGATTCCTCATACTTAAAGGCCTTTTAGTAGACCCACCAAACCAGTTGATTCCACCCACTTCTCCAGAGCACTAGCAGAAAGAACAAAAGCCGACTTGGAGGATTCAATGTCATGCTTATCAACTGCAAGAAGAACATGTCAAGAAGCATCCGAGAGAAAGCCAAAGTCCAAGGAAATGAACGTTATATATAATACCTGATGAAATAAGAGATGCCAAAGAAGAATTGAACGCATCGACCTCATTCTTCTCCTCAGGACTAGATGTCAGCTTTAAATTTTAATTCAAAATAACAATTATAAGCTCAACTTAGGAACTAGAAATCATAATATCAAATGGGATAAATGGAGACCTTGGTGAATGCAAGATTGACATTTTGGATCCAATCTGCACGGGTACTTGGACCAAGCACCGAACTTGCTTCAGAGAAATCATTGTTCTCAATAGCTTTACCCACTTTACTAAGCTTGTACACAAGTTCTTGGAGGTAACCTGTCCATATAAACATTTGAATTATTACAAGCAACAAATTTGAAAGTATGAAACAAAAATCAGGCTATTTCTGCCGCATTTTTTGAGAGATTCAAGTTTCATTTTTGACCTTCCAATGGATCATTAAGTTTAAAAATAAGGGACGGTAGAGAGATTCAAGTTTCATTTTTTTTGCCTCACCTGTTTGGTTGAAGAAAAAATTGAGTGAAAAAGAATTTTTTGTTCTTTTTTGTTTGGATGAGGAAAAATTGAACATTTGTTTCTCCTGAGGAGAGGGCATGGGAGTCATGGCAATGACCAACATAATTCTTCTTCATATTTTTTACTAAATTTGATAGAGAACTATAAATGAAAATGCGTTAACATTTCAAAGATAATCACCTTATATCTTATAGTGAAACCAAACAGCCAATGCGTCATTGTCATGTGAAATTCATCCACTCAATTTTCTTAAACAAACAGAGCATAAATTAACTTGCACATGCTCGGTTATAGTTCACATTTCAGAAATGGCACTTGAAACAAAGCAAATTACTTTCACGTCAGGGAAGAATTTCATGAAAACAAGCATGGAAAAAGAGCCAGTGGCAATGCTGAAGGTGAACAAATATAAACCCATTAAAATTCGTAAAAAAGATTGTGACTTTCCCCTTACATTTGATTCTGGACGTATCTGCTAATTTCAGAATTATGCAAGAAAGAAATTAAAAGAAAGATTGCCTTTTACTCTGCAAAACCAACTAGAAGTTCCCATAATTGGACTCAGAAGAATAAAAAGGATTGGCAACGAGAGAAAGAAAGAGAGAATTACACCTGTCTCTTTGGCGGAGGAGCTTATTACGCCCTGCTTCTGAAGCCTCTTCTTCCGGTCAATCTTCACCTTCTCCAGCAGCTCCTCGTCGTCGTCCGCCTCCAGAATGGCGGCGAGAGACGGGCTGGCTAGTGAGAGCGTTAGGGCCGTGAAGCATGCGGAGAGACCCTCTCTCCTACCCACAAGAAGAGGCGGAGCCGGAATCGCCGGCCCTCTCTCTCCGACGAGGCAAAGGGCGACTGAGGTACCAGCGTCACCACTCGTCCTCGCACAGCCGGCGATTTTTGTAGTAACGGCAGCCACGGCGTGTCCTAGAGTTATTGCCATTATCGCTTTTTGCTTCGATTGATTCTGCCACGAGCGTGGGGAAAGAGAGAGGAAGGGGACGAGAAGAGGATAAGGGTAGTTGAAGGTGTACCGCTCGTTTCCCCCCTCGGACTACTACAGGTCCAGCAAGAATGTCGAAGTGCTCGTTGGTGTTCAATTCAATATTTGCCATAGCCATCCGAGCCTAATAATAATAGTGGTGGATTAATTAAACTTTAAGATGGTTAGAAAGTTCTTTTTTATCAGTTAAGATAAATTTATGCATATTGTACATATACAAGATTCGAATTTAAGACATCTTAGTTAATAGTCAAAATTCTGAACCAACATATCAAGATGATCTGCGTAAATTTTGAAATCTATGATGACAACAAATTTAATCTAAATTTTCCTACAAAAATTTCTGCATATAATATATATGCAAGATTTGAATTTAACACATCTTAGTTAATAGTCAAAGCTTCAAACCAACGGATCAAAATGAACTGCGAAATTCGATGAGAGGATGACCACCTCAAGTAGGCCATTAGCCATACAATGACAAATGCCCTAATTGAGGTGAAGTGTCTCATGGCCTAAGAAACTCTAATATATGTATATATTTTTTCAATTACTTTCATCCCTTATTATCCCTTATTATCAAAATCATGATATTTAGATCTGTGAAATCAAGCTTAAGGAGATATTATTTGTCATACTAGAAGCTCCTCAATGATATTGTATTCTATTAATTTTTTAAAATAAATTATTCGTGATTAATCTTGAGGCTATTAGAAGAATGATGACACATAGCAAGTACATATCATTGTTTATCCAACAAATTTGAAGATTTATTTTAAATTATGATTTTGATAGTTTTGTATTACTCAATCTAGAACTTTAGCCACTACCAACAAATTTGAAATGATGCCCAACAAAATAGTAGATCAACTCCTCCAAAAAAACAATATGTATCATATTAAAATCTTTCATCAAGCTTATAAATAATCCATTAAATGTTCATAACAACTTATGACAAATTTTCATTCATTAGGTTAGACTTGAGGCAACTCTTTGTCAACTCAGTTCTCTTTAGAGCACATAATGACCACTGAGAGCTTCTCCTCGCATATTTATCTTAGAGAATACTTATTATGTTCTTGGTTAGTGTACATCAAAGTGAGAGATTTATTGAGCTACAACAAAATATTTATGTTTGATCCAATTTTTTTAGTGGAAAGTAGGTTGAATCATACTTGACATTAATGTGTATAGAAGTAAATTGAATCACGTTATCTAATTAAATTAACATAATAGATGCCATCACACATACACACAGAGAAAGAGAGAGAGAGAGAGTACGTCGTACCCTAAGTTATATGGACCTCTTTTAAACTATCCCATCTTTTGTACACCACTTTAAGACTATCACTATAAATGCCTTCATGCTTTAGATACCCATTCATTCACCATATCATGGTGAAAGTATTCTGTGCGGAACCCGAATCGGGAGATCAATCACAATGCGTCACATCACCTCTTGTTCGGTGCATGGCTCGGTACTGCTCGGTACCGCAGCTCGGTACCAAGCTCGGTACCGCTGACTTGGCGCATTTTGGTTAGTTTTCGGACGGTGAACTGCGTTCGGCGTTCGCACATAATAATCAATTTTAGGGTTATATGAGCCTAAATATTCAATTTTAGGGTCTACTACCCACCATTACTTTTGTATATATTTTATGTTTGTATTCCAATGATGATTTTAATTCGAAATATAGAGATGCTCATGTATTTCTATTTTTAAGGTAGAATATGTTCCATATGTATCACATCAACCTTCTTCTTTACAAACAAAACAAAAGATCTTTAAGGGCAACATAAGCTTAGAAAAATTAAATAAGTCCTATAATTGATTATTCAACTATTCTATGTTCATTGTGGCCATTTTATAGGAATTTTTAGTTATGTGACATATTGGATTCCCAAATAAATAAAAGCTGCACTTAAAAAAATAGGAAGTAAACTCACCAATTCATTCAGGAACACATGAGTGAACAAACTTACAAATAGGGATTTCTTTTAATGTCTCCACTACCTTACTCCCACCTTTCACATGTGTAACAGACATCATTTCTTCTTTTCCGTATATTCTATCAAACTATATGGCTGAAAGTAGAACAACTCTATCACCTTAAAAAAGATAAATGTCATATCACTTAACAATAAGGTAAGTACCTCCTTCCCATAATCATTATGTTCATTAAATTTACTTGACTAGTTCATTTGCAACATCGCATTAGTCAAGAGAGATGTCATTAACTCAAACTATGACCTTCTAATGGATATCTTAATATCACATGTGCATATATAATTAGACATCACATAGTCTCCCTCTAGTAACATAATAATCAAACTAACATGAAATGCAATAGATGGTAGTTCAAAAACCATTGGAAAAAAATGAATTATTCATACTCTAATTAAAAAAATATACACAACTAAGTATAAATAAAGAGCAGTGCATGTGACAACAAACAATCACATCCTTCACATAGTTTGATTCAAAGTATATACCATTGCTTATATAGATGTAAGAGCAACTAAAGTTCTCTCCTTAAGTCCTTGAGGGTTTTGCTACTGTAGTTCTTCCTCCATCTCTACTTGGAAAACCCTCACTATATGCTCTAGAAGGATTATCTTTTGCCTCTAACTATTCCTTAACATTAGAGATGAAATATGTTTTCTTGCATGAAAAATATTTCTCCTTATGTCAATGCTAGCAACAAATAAAATATTATCTCATAACTAAATATCATTTACATATGCATCCATGTATAGCTATGTACTATATTTACATTTATATATATGCTATTCTCTCTAGATTCTAAACCTAAATCTAGATTTCTCCCCCGTTAAATCCAATCTTGGATGATTCTCTACCAAGAGTTTTCTTACTAATATCCTATATATGATGCACAATCAACATATCATTCTTAATCAATCTTGTTCTCTCTACCAACTCAATCAAATCATTTATTCTAAATTGGTTAAGGGAAACTTCAAATTATGATTAATGTCTCTTAGAAATTTACAGCACTTATCCTCTAAAGTGTTAACTAATTAGGGTGTGTATATTGCTAACGCTATAAACTTAACTTTATATTACATCACAACTCTTCCTTTGCACACCAATTGTAACTCAAAAATCTTGCATGCCCCAAGAGTTCAACACCACCCTACATGAGGTATTCATATATGCACCAACATCACTATTGCTTGACATGTATCTTTTGCTACCCACTTAAGATTTGTCCTTAAGGGGACCTCAACCTCTATCTAGCAAGGAAGACCTTGACTGCCACTTTAACCAATGCAAACTATAGGCCACCTCAAAAGCCTCTACAATATAGCTCTTTACCTACTAGAGTCACTAACTCACACCTAACTTGGATCAGTTATGCCATGGTTTGAGTAATCCTCACACAACTTCTACCTTAGATAAACATATAAAGCACTATGCTTCAATGACCCACATTACGGGTCATGGCCCTAGATGAAATGACATGTTAGAATATCCCTCTTGAGCAATCAATTTATTTAGTTATGCTCAAACTATTACCTCTATAACCTTCACTTAGTATGCTTATATGCCCCTTGAAGCCATCCCCAATGAACATGCTAGCTTGTTATACTTAATGATTTATGGATCCTAGTACCATGCACAACCATCATTATCTTGTATTCATATCTCCACTCTTATAATTATACCATTCATCTAATAGCACTAGAAAGAAAGGGATGAGCTTAGGGACCCACTTTAAAAAGGGTTGAATGAAAAAGAGAGAAGAGGATAATGCTTAAGCAAACATACACATGTAAAATGAGAACAAAACTACATTGAGACTTCAAGGAGGGAAATTATTTGTTATAGACATATTGTACTTTCTTTTTTCACATGGGAGAAATTTTTATAGCCTGGACTATAAGGGTTTTCCCCCTCCTATCCACAAGACTTGCAACCTATGCTTGAATTAATAGTATTTATCTCACTAAGCAAATGGTGGATGTAGGCCATTTGTTCGAACCACTAAAAAACCTTTAATATCTTACTATGTTATAAGTGTCTACTCCATCTCTTTTCATCATCAAGTCTCACTGTTAGAGGTACTCTCGTCCCCTCAACAAGTAACTAACTTGGGTGACATATCTCTATCTCTCTCTACAAATCATTGATGAGTGTTCTCTAATAACACGACCTTATAATGAATTATTGTAGGCCCTATATAAAAAATGGAGGAACAAGCCAATCAAGAAGAGTTCCATAAAATTTGCTCCATAAATCACAAAGTCAAAATTTTCTTGGACTCTCTCCTTTAGGCCCATCCACCTACATTTTTCTTCATCCCTTAACATAAACATATCCCTTTTAATCCTTAGAATATCACATGCCTTCATATATTATCATGCTTTGCAATTTATCTTCAACTTCTTATAGCTCTAAAGCTCATTTAAATAGAAGTAATTGCATTCATAAAAACATTTAGAAATGCTTGTTTGCCTTTTCTTTCATATGAACAAATATGTTGTCCAGACATCATTTATGAACAATATACCACCATACGGTCCATACCCATAAATTACATTGTCACAAGTAATATTTTATCAATCCCCTATAAATTGCCCAATCTTAAATTCTATTAATTAGTAATATATTGATCATGTTATGCCTTGTTATCACCATACTAAAATTATTAATTTTGTAATTTAAGTATACTCATAATATATATAAATTATTATTTTGTATACAAGTACATAATCACATAAATTCATATCAACTCACACACAACATAAAGATGAAATGTTGATTATTAGACTATCAATTGTAGTAGATTAACCAATGGCTTTGTTTAAATCAAAATCTCCAATATGTTATATGGTTATCACTATTTTTTAATGGCCTAGCCTAAGATGACCCCCACCATATTACAACATACTTTTTGAGCTAGTGTGCATTATATGAAGAGACTATTCAATTCATCCATAAAAAATATATTCACAACATTTAATTCACAAGTGATCCTCACAATCCAATGTCTATTTGGAGAATTGCTAATACATTTATAATACGTATAAGGCTGCTAATAAATAAATAATGATATTATACTTATGAAAGTAAACTTATGCTATTATTCATATGATTGTATTATACGTGCAAGAGAATCATATATATTAATCATGACATATTATTGATATATATTCATAAAATACATGTTATCATAATTATAAAAGAGATTATAAACATTCTCTCAAAATATTAGCTTCTACCTTTGACCTAATTAAGGAGCTTATAGCCTCTACTATATAGGTTTCATATCCTTCCCTTTAATCAAATCCATATGTGGTTGCAAATAAGGTAGCTAATAAATCTAGTAAGTTACATAAAATTTAGCATATATTCAATCCACATATATAGGGAAGCAATATGCATGCAAGGAGTTACATCTATGTAAGTACTATAATATATACATATGCATGAGATGTTATAAATAAGTAGTTCAAGTGCATATGTCATAAAACACATTTGGTGATAACATAATAGTCATATGTCATATCATGTCATCTAAACAAGCATATATAATTGATAAGCGATGAACAATACAAGCATCAATAATTGGTAATAAGTAAAATAATATTATGATAATTCAATTATTCATGTATGTAAGGTATCTAACCAATTAAGCATTTAGTATGGCAACACCATATTTGCTTTCTCTCGGGTGGCATCCATTTTATAATAATGATGTTATCTCTTACATGTTAGTTTATACCATTTAGCATAACACTAGAGGAAAAATACTAATTTTTGGCAAAAATAAATCTATCAAAAAATCATTAAATTAAATTACATATTATTAAGATAAATTAAATAAATAGTTTTCAAAATTATTAATTTATGTTAAATTAACTAATTCAAATTAATTAATTAGCTAATATAATAAATATTGTTAAATTATTTTCCACCTTAATATCAAATTAATTATTTTGATCTTTCAAATGTATTAATATTAATTGTTAATTTTAATATTATATAAGATATAATATAAAAATAAAGAGTACATTTTATAATAATAGATCTTTCTCGTGGCCTGATGGTTAGGCGTTGGATCTCCGAATGAGCCGCGTTCAAAACTCACAACAAGCATGATGGGGGCAGACAGGTGGGCTGCAAGCGGGTAAGCGGGCTAGCCAGGTCAGACAGGAAGCTGGCTGATGGTTGGCAGGCGGGGTGGCCAGGCAAGCCAACGAGCTAGCCCGCTAGTGCATAATTTGATAATTTTTTTTTTAAAGTTTTCTAGTAGCAAATTTTTTAGCAGATGTTTTTCATCGGTATTTATTTTTTAGAGCGTATTTTTATAAATAAAAATTATAACTATCTTATTTAAATTAAATTATTTATAATACTTATTTATTTAATCATATAACTCATACCATTTTAATTTTAATAAATATTATTTGTCGAATTTAAATAAAGTCTTATAATTTAATTTAATTACTATTATTTTTCTCCTTTTTGAGTCTGTATCTTCTGCTCCTCTTCCCGTGCCGTCTTGTCACGCTTTGAGAGGCAACTACCGGCGCCGCCGGCGATAGAAGGGAAGCGGGCAGGAGATGGGGATTCGATTTGTGTTGCTGGTGAACAAGCAGGGACAAACTCGTCTGGCTCAGTACTATGAGTACTTGACTCTGGAAGAGCGCCGAGCTCTTGAAGGCGAGATCGTCAGGAAATGCCTTGCTCGCAACGAGCAGCAGGTACTCATTCCCCGCCTTGCAAATCCCAGGAAACCCTAATTAATTTACACTGCGGAGATTTTTGTTCATCTCCGGTTTAGTCGTCCGGTTTAGGGACATGGCTGTGGATCGATCTCATGGATTGCACCGTGGAGTTGATATGTCTATAGGTCAAAAAAAAAATTTTTTTTTTCCCGATTCAAGAGTTTCATTTAAGACCTGTTGAAGGAGTTGAGTGAATCTATTCTGGATTTGTGTTTATCGAATTCTTTTCTTCTTGATCTTTATCTGATATCTGAATTTGCTTTGAGAGATTCTCATGAAAGTTGAAGATAATGTATTTTGGGAAACTGCACCTTAGATGCTTCTTTCCGAATTACCAAACCGAAGGGGGACAATCATAGATGTTTATGTTAAGGAAAGTAATTGATCCGGAAATCAGACGGGATCAGATTATGTTTTTAACTGTTCAATTGTTTTCAGCCTGATATGAGATTGAATAGGCAATTCATTCTGTATAAAGCGAATTTTTATTGCGTCCTCCCACCTGACATAGAGATACGTCCTTCCACCGCTAAAAAAATTGGGTTTTTGCTCGGTATTGCTAGCTATTATTTGGTATTAACGAAGAATATCATCATGTGAAGACATAAACCGAGTTATACCGAGCTATGCCGAGCAATACCGAGCTATACCGAGCAATACCGAGTTTTCTCTAGGAAAATCTAGGTATTTTTTTGTATCGCTCGGTATCGCTCGGTATAGCTCGGTATAACTCGGTATTGGTTTTCACATGATGATATTCTTCGTTAATACCAAATAATAGCTAGCAATACCGAGCAAAAACCTAGTTTTTTAGCGGTGGGAGGACGTATCTCTACGTCAGGTGGGAGGACTCAATAAAAATTCGTATAAAGCAGACTTTTGGATCAGATTGTATTATGTTTTCCAATGCTGCTTGCCTCTAGAACACACCAATCGTTCCTCTCTTAATGCCATCCACCTGTGGGGCACACCTAATATTCTTTGTTTTCCCTTCCGTCCCCAGCTATCATGGAAATAACAGATGAAAGAACTTTGTAGAAACACAAAGCTTCCAAATTCAAGTCAAGAGTTATGAAGATCCGAGTGATTCCCTCTATCTTCACCACTAGGACCTACCAAGTTTGGTCATTGATAATGCCACTATCAATGAAGTCGATGCATCTTAATCTTTGGCGATGAGAACAATAAGCATAACATGACTCCAATGGGATAGTTCAAACCTCTCTTTCAATCTATTGGATAGTTCAAGCTATGAACATATGGATTCCTTACACAATCTTGATGATTAGAGTATGCATGATGATGTGGAGTTACATAATATCACCATTTAGAATATGAAATTTAAATTATGTTGGAATTAATTTGTGTACTACAATGACTATCCAAGGTATATAAGTTGCTCATTATAGCAAGGAGTTGCCCTTGACATAGTAATTGCCTAATTGGTGTGGTGATGAGCTTTTAGGACACTTGGAATTGGCAAAGGGGGACTTTTGGTTGCAATAATGGAGCATTGATGCTTTAGAAAAATGCAACGCTCTTAGCACAGGTGTTCTATACTATTTGCATAAAGGAGAAGTTTATTTTTCCAGTGAAGGGGTTTGTCTTGTCCATTCACCCAATGAATTTTACTTGAGAATCCCAAGTAGCATGGAGGTTTTGGGTTTAAGAATTTTTGCTTGTTAATTAAATGAAGTAGAAGTTTATGAAGATTACAAATAATGGGCAACTGAAGATAATAGATGGGATATGCTATTTTGTAAAGGTAGGAAAAATGTTTAGATTTTGTTTAGAAATATTTTTTCGTTGATTAGAAAAGATTGGTGTTATGTCATAAGAAGATGTCTTAAGAAGATATCTAGTTTTACATAAGAAACGAATCAATGTTGTGAGATTTTATCAAAGTCGGTTTATTTGGTGTACCAATTTTTGTGGTGAATGCAAGTAAGATGCAGGGAATTGTTCATATTGAACAACAATAAATAGCTACAAAAGCATTATAAAGTTGAAGTAGTTGTAGAAAATTGCTTCCCTACAATATTAGTCATCTTCTCATACTCTATCATAGATTTGTTCAACATATCCAAAAGTTTCTTATTGCATATATAGCAAACAAGTGCAATTGTTTATCCTGCAAGCTTATTTGGCCATATCAGGCATTGCAAAAGACTGATTATCACATTGTGTAAAACCTTAATTATGCGTAGCTACAAGGAGTTAGATCAATTATTGATTCCACAAAGTACAATAAGAGATTCAGGTTTCATAGTGGTGAGATTGGAAAGTGTAGGTTCTTGCAACTACGGATTAGAGTCTCTACTGTATGTGATCTCTTGAAAGAGTGTGAGGTAGTTGTAAGCTTTATTCAGAGATGTATTGTGGTGGAGTCAAGGATTGTTTAGATATGAGTGAAGCCACTACTCGCAATAGTGCTATTATAAATGTTATTGCATCGCAATTTTCTACTCATCATGACCTAATAATTGTTTTGTTTTGACTCTAAATGATACAGAGAGAATGTACCCGAATGATTCTAATGAATATTATCATCTCAAGAAAATAAATGCACAACCCAAATTGGAGAGGAAAAGATGACAAAAATAGTAATTAACCCGAAGAGAGATTGATAATAATACACTACCCAGGGAGAGATAAAAGAGGAGGATTCAAGCGACTTTGCTCTTGATTCAATATTCTTCAATAGATTGTGATACAATTTTCAGATACCCTTTATGTAGTGGGGGGTCATTATATACTTAAAATATTTAAGCTATGTAAGGAATTATATAAGAAGTACTTTCAAATTACTTATGACTTGAATTTCTTGGTTTTCTTTCCCTGGATGCTACTCTTTTACCATTAAAATGATACGTAACCGCATGCTCCTTAAATTAATATAGTTATTGGAAAGCTACAGCCTACATGTTATAAATTAAAAAATCCCCTTCTTGTATCCAAGAAGGTAAGGATGCCATTTTCTCGCCTGAATGAATACTTGAATTACAGCTTATTTGGAAAATATATCTCCAATATGTAGCTCCTGAAACGGTGCTGCTACTATATTATTTATTGAATCTTAGCTATTTTATCTGTGACAAGTTTGGGATTCCAATTCCATTATCCTAAACTCTATGGCTTTATTTAATAGAAGTTACATAATTTATGAGGGCAAAAGATCAATGAATTAACATTTTTTTGTGTAATAGATGCCCGATCTCATTGTGTTTTTATTTATTAGATTGAAGTGTGCTCAAAGAGCTCAAGGTGAATTTTAAAGATACTTTTTGTGTGAAATTTGATCCTATCTTCCACTACCTTACTATAAAAGTTTTTAATTCACTTAGGATTCACCAGTATCTGCTCTTGCATTTTTTGATGTTTCCATTCTTCTATTGAGAATAGGCCTGCAACAGTGGTTGTGTTTTCTAAATTGTTATCTAGAAATCATAGGTTCAATCAAAGAAATATCTTCTTTGCAATATTTGGATACGGTTGTCTTCTTTACCCTATATATCCTACATTGATAGAAAGATTCATGAACTAGGTACGCCCATTGATGGAATAGTACAATTTTTTGTTATTTTCACGCTAAATATGAGATTGGCATTTCAACTCCTCTTTTTTCATTTGATTAACATTTTTTATTCCATAAAAATGTTGTGTGAATACAATTTGCAAAGTTATAATCATATTTTTCATTATTATTTTTTTTTTTGGGTTTTTTATTGCAGTGTTCATTTGTCGAGCATCGTAATTACAAGATTGTGTATAGACGCTATGCTTCACTTTTTTTCCTGGTTGGGGTTGACAATGATGAGGTGAGTCTAACCGGTCATTTTGTAGATATCCTGGTTTTAGTAAATAAATTTTGTGAAGATGATATAGTTTCTGTTAAAAAGTATCTCCTGACTTCACCTATGAACTACTAAAGACTTATTATAGTACTGTGCTAAAGCCACCATATCGTTTCTCTTATCCATGTAAAGATAGAGTGCTATAGGTTGTTTTATGTATTATTGGAATGATGCATGATCTAATGACTTGCAATACAATTTTTCTGAGGATGGCCCCTGCAAATTTGAAATCGTGAGTTAGTTTCATCAATTTTTAGATGGCTATGGTATAAGGTTTCATTAGAAGGGAGAACATGGGATGCAACTTACTTGGACAATCTTGTTTCTTCCACATCAAATCAGAAGCTGAAGTGATATGAGTTGAAGATTGGCTTCGGATAGGCATGCTTTGCCTGAACAGGTTCTGTTAATATCTGTGAAGGAGTTCACGCCTTGAACTGATCACGAAGTATTGACGTTCTTATGTTTAATCTGTTGACAATATTTTATTTTAGTACCCTTTTCTTTCTTATATACATGCACCTTCATGTGCACAACTGTATTCTTGACATGAATGTAGTTTAAGTGCTTTTGTTTTGATTTGTTAATCAAAAGGAATTTTATCAAGTATAGTGTTAATTATGTTCTATGCTATTTTCTGCACACCCCAAGCCTATTTAGACGAGTCAATGTGGTGTGGTTTGTGAACTAACAGTGATAGCTATGGACTTGGTGGGACCTGTCTTCTTTCCCTTTAGATGATAGCATCTTTTAATTCTCGAAGTTGCACTTGTGTGTTTGTAACATACTTGTTAATGGCGAATGGCGCACCATGGCGCAAAGGTCCCTTTGGAGCCATGGCGCATAGCGCACGGCGCGGCGTGCGCCACTTTGAACATGGCGCAAACTAAATAAAATTATAAAATAATAAACATGAATATGAAATATCATTAAAAAATGAAAGACAAGCTATCATAATAATGAAAAACAAGCGTGTACATAGCGGTACCGAGTGTGTACCTAGAGGTACTGAGCATATACCGAGCAGTACTGAGCAGTACCGAGCATGTACATAGCGATACCGAGCATGTACATATCAATACCGAGCATGTACTTAGCGGTACCGAGCGGTACCGAGCATGTACTTAGCGATACCGAGCGGTACCGAGCATGTACATAGCAATACCGAGCATATACTGAGTGGTACTGAGCATGTACATAGCAATGCCGAGCATGCACGTAGCGGTATCGAGCATGTACCGAGCGGTACTGAGCATGTACATAGCAATACCGAGTGGTACCGATCACTCGGTATTGGCAGAAGCACTACTATGCGGGACGATTAGGCGGAAGCAACAATTGGTGCGCAATTTTGTGCCGTGCGCCATGCGCCATGGCTCACATGTGGCGCAAATAGCGCGCGCTATTTTAAACACATGCGCTTCGCCATGAACATGGCGCCGTAGGTGCGCCGCGCCGTGCCGTGCGCCAGCGCGCTATTTTGCGCCATTGACAAGTATGGTTTGTAAATCTTTTATTTTTTATTTTTGTGTGTGCTTGTAATTCTTTTAACTAATTAGAGGCCTATTTGTGCTTACTGCTTATATTTTCCAGGTATAGTTGTTAATTGGTACACTATTTTAAAAAGCTTATATATAATGCAAAACTTAGTTATAATTCAACAATAAAAGAGAAAGCTATCATATTAACACAAAAAATTCTCAGCACTATGACATGAGATTATTTGGCATGCATGGAAATTGAATGTCATACATAAATCCCATGCTATTGATTAACAAGTTTTAAGAATGTGAATTTAAAAAGAATAATAAATAGTACTAGTGAATTAAATTTCAAATTGATGTTCTAATTCAATTCAATTGATTTAAATGATATGCTAATTAATCAATTGGAAATGCATTGACATACAATTCATTGCTGATAATTGAGGTTGGTGTATGAAGAAAGAAAGCAAAACAACTAATATTTTGGTAGACTATACAAAATAGATAGCATCCATTGATGCGTTGGAGTCCATTGCAAATCTAGTCCATAACTATTAGGAGGAGAAAAAAAAAAGAACGAAAACATGGTAAATAAAGAGCATTAGACAAAAAGTTTACTTTTCTTAAATGGAATGAAAAACTCTTAGTAAATACAAGATATCCAAGGTTCTATTGGAAGTTTTTTTCAGCATAGGCATTTTAACTAACATATTTATTAGAATGAAATGGTAAGACGCCTTTTCAGATGATAATGTTCATATTATTAATGTTTTCTCATGGGACTGATTCTTGGACATGACATACTATATCTGGAGGGAATCCTTTTAAAAAAATTTCTTAAAAACTTCTTACTAGTTATGCTCTTAAAAGTTGGAAATAGATTGGGACAAGATGTGTGGCTTTAGTCTCTTGAGGACTGTAATTTGGAATTACAGTTATGTGAGAGTGATGATCTGTTTGATTATGTCATAGTTTCTTTGTTTAGAGCCCTTTATCATTATCACTCTTTACTAGACAAAGTTTTGATTATGTGGAACCATGATCTTAGGTGAAATGCTTGAATGAGAGGGAAGTAATATTGCTTATTTTCATTGGCTTGTTACCGGCCAAGTGCAGATAATCAAATCATAAGGATTATCCCAAATAATAGTTAGGAGGTGTTTGATATTTGTCTTCTATTTCTTTGAGTTTCTTTTGGGATGGATGTATCATGACTCGGCCTAGGAGTTCGAATTACTAAGGTAGAAGCAAATGATAAGATGGAATTTAAAGCTTTCTATTCTTTCTAAAAAATGCAACAATCTAAAATAATCTTTTTTCTTTTTGTTTTTCATATAAGGCTTCCAATTCATGAAAGTGCCACCAAACAAAAAATTTTCATTTATCATGAAGACGTTCACATACATTTATAAAAATCTATATGACATGTAATAAACATTTGAAGGAAAATTATCTATTTTATACATCTATTATAATTTTGCAAATACCTAGTATTAGATGTTTCTCATATGTTGTAAACAAGAACCCTTTACCATCCATTTATTCCATCAAAGATTTTTCTTAAAAACAATCATCGACTAATGAGGGTGAGTTATAAATATATAAGTCAGTGGGTAAATAACAATTCTATACTATAGGAACTCAAATAGAAGATAAATAACATGCATTCTAGTCATTTTATTTAGGTTTTAAAAGATATTTTAAACTTGATTTTTCATTTCAATAATAATTATGATCTTAAATATTGCTTAGCAGTCAGAGTTAACACAAAAATTAGATCATGACAATTAATTTCACATTATGAACTTGAACATGAACTGAGCATATTATATCGTAAATTATACATTAGTATGTACTTAATGCATCCATCTCAGAAGCACTATTGAAATATAAACCAACTTGTTCTTGGTCGATTCATCCCTCGTCGGCACAATGATGTGTTGCTTATGAAATCATCAATATAGGGTTGCATTAGCCCTCTTAATTAGAGTACCATAAGGGGGTGACTGTATCTATCAGCATGCACATACATACAAGTACTCTTATCTTTTGCATTCTTTTCAACATATAGTATCTTCCTATTCGAAACATTGTATAGAATGATATATGCTTTACTTGAACAATGGAAACAATAGTACAATACATGAGGACATATAACTGATTCATAACAATATCAAAAATCATTTGCATGAGAGATAAATCATCATAAATTAAATGAGGTACAATCTTGTAGCATAATAAAATTTGGCTTATATGAGAACCTGAATCATAAACATATCTTTAAATGCATCTGATTTAGAAAAAGCAAGTTTACTCCAATTTAAAAATGAGATTACCCACCTGATTTAGATGTTTTGAACCACCTATTAATCCTTAAACTTTATCTCCTTTAGCTTGATACTTATATTCATATTTTCAATTACATGCATAGCCTTCATATTATCTAACATGAATTCTTCTTTAATGATATAATTTTTTTTTATTAAACCATATATTAATTTTCTTCAGCTTGCATTACATATCAAAACTATTAAGAATATGACTCATTGTGAACTCCAAAATTTCTCTCAAGTACGCACATTTATTTCTCATGCCTCTTTAAGATACCAACTCATTATCTTTATTAAATTATCTAGACTATTACATGATGACTCATAAGTTTGTTAGCATGAGACTATTTAGATCAACATAGAACAATAAAACCTTAGGTTGGCTCATCATCCTATTCATTCATGGGATCAGATGAAAGAAACTCCGACAAAAGCGGCTATTAGTTCTTATATTTCTCATGTGCTCTTAGGAAGAGCTTGGTTGTATGAATTGGAGACCTATTATGGACATTCCAACACATAAGCTTTCAATCCCCATTAAGCCTAAAGAGATTATGCCCTAAGGACTTAAGGGGCACTTTCACCTTTATAAAAATAAATTTCTTTATTTCATCAACCGATATGAACTAGTGTAGGAAATCAACAATAGCACTTTATATGCTACGATTGTGCTGACCACTTTAAGTCAACTTGCTATTAGGTCACTTTCCTCTAAAGTGGATCGCACCATGATGCAAGTGGGTGGATCATGGCGCCATAAGAAAAATCACCATCAAATGTAGGTTTCACATATCTAAGCTTAAGGGCATTCTTGATATGATATGAGAGTGGTTGTCTTCTTGAAAATCACTTTAAGGAATAGACGCCTCCAAAATTTGCATGAGATTAAGCGACGAAGGAAATACAACCTTTAAGATTAATTATCGTACTTTTGAATGATTAGTTGTATCATTTGGCTTAGCTAATGCTCCTTGTACATTTATGCAACTAATGACCTATTTTCTATTCATAGTTTATTCTTTAGTAGAAATTTTTGCAGTTATTTATTTTGTTGGCATCTTGATATTTAACTAGACTATTGCGATAGATTCTTGAGACTCTTTGCCAAGAAAAATTGTCTATCCACTTTAAAAAAAATTCTTTCATAATAGGGCATATGACATCATCATTCTGAACCAAATCCACCTACAAGATAAGTTGCCTAGAGGTAGTTTGAATGCTTGATAACTTTGAGTTTTTGCTTAACTAGAAATATTTTCTGAGTTTGATTTATGTTCTTAATATGAGATTGAAGTCCCCTAATATTTGCTAGAATATAAGAAAAATAGGGCATGCATTATGTTTGTTATGATTTGGCTTGCCTCCTTAGGTGGTGGAAATAATAATATTTTTGGCTTGCTTCTTACCCTTATTCTCAAGTTCTATCTATGGACCTATGATGCACAGACACGGACACGGCGACACGGACACGATACGACACGGACACGGGACACGTCAGTTATTGAAAATATAGGACACGGAAACAGGCTTGGACACGTTATTATACTTTTTATATTTAAAAAATAGTGTATAAAAATTAAATAAGTATTAATTTTAAAAATAATTTGAAAATAATAAGTCATTTAACTAGATTTTGTGCTTAAAATTATTAGTATTAGGATGTCGAGAGCCATACGTCGATGTCGTTTATGAGTCACCGAGAGAGGAGATGAAAATACCTTCACTGCAAAAAAAAAATGAAAATGAGAATATTTGATGATTGGGTATTAAGTGCAGACGTTGATTTGATATTGTGGATAGGAAATAAGAAATTTATTTTAAATCCCGCCAAACACAAGAAATTATATTTAAAAAAATTCATAAAATATTTAAGATACGCGTGCTGGACACGCGTGTCCAATTTGTATTTAATATTTATTAATCGGACAAGTTTTCGACTTGTCCGACACGTGTCGGAGGAGTGTCGGACGAGTGTCGTGTCGGTCACGGTGTCAGACACTGCACGCCTCTTTGAGGAGAAATGTCGGTGCATCATAGCTATGGACTTATCTTCTCTTTTGCTGAGGTGGCCTTTTGGTTCTTTTACTAACTTAGGGTCTAAATCATGATCTCATCGCAGATAAAGTTCTTGGGTTATTCTTCTTGTTTGATTATTGAAGAAATTACTTCTCTTTTATCTGATGGATAGTCAGCTGGTGAGCTTCTTGGCGTGATTATTAAACCTATCCATGCTTTCCACTCCACCCACCATGTCTCATCCAATGATCCAAAGATTCAAAATATTAGCGCTCATTTTTAGGTTAAGGTTTGTAGAGATACTCATCTAGTGGAGATGTTAGAAGATTGACTCTAAGAATTGTCATCTAATATCAGAGACATTTTGGGGAACTAATAAATTTTTTTTTATTCCATTTGAATAAGTTTTGGGTGGGAATACTCTATTTTGGCTCTGAATTCTAAGGATACTTAGGTTGCTTTGACAGTAGTTGCCATGTTTGTAGTTCAGTGTTGCATCTTCCTGTATGCCTTCGGGACAACTTTCTTTCGATGAGGAAGCTTCAACGTTGTATCTTTCCAGCACATAAGGCTCAGTTATTAGTGTGGTAACATTCATAGGCAACACAAAATTTTTCTATGCAATGATAGTTCTGTTCTAGCTAGGGCTTGACTAGGGACTAAGTCTTTTAAAGACGAAATTCATCTTCTGGGGGATCTCTATAGCAGTAACAGCTTCAGTGGGTCTCACTCGTTGCATGTGCTACTGTGCATGTCGCGCAGGTGTTTCAACAATAGAATAAACAATCATTCCTACAATGGGCACTATTAGGGGTGTCAATTTTGAGTCACGGGTTGGATTCGGGTTGAACCCGGAACTGACCCGGCACTATTCGGGTTTGGGTCAACCTGACCCGTTTTTGCAAACGGGTTGATTTTCTGGATCCGAACCCGACCCGCTTTGGGTTCGGGTCAACCCGACCCGACCCGTTTAGGGTTTAGGGACAGCGCATCAGGCGGGGCAGCGGCAGCTGCAGCAATGCCGGTGGCCAGTGGTGTAGCGGCCGCAGAGCGATGCCGGCGACGCGACAGCCGGAGATGCGCGGAGCGGACATGATGCGATGCGACGTGACGTGGGGCAGGCGGGGCAGGAAGAGCAAGCTGGGCAGCGGGGCAGCTGGGTTTCCGGGTCATTCCCGGGTTCCCAGGTCAACTCGAACCCGACTCGTTTTGCAAACGGGTCAGTTTTCAGGACCTTAATCTGACCCGCTTCGGGTTCGGGTCATCCCAAACCCGAAATTTTCGGGTTGGGTTCGGGTCGGGTCCAATATTGACATCCCTAGGCACTATAGAAGGCCTAGCATTGGCTGCAGGAATTTATAAGCCGCCAAATTAAATGGTGGCTCTAGTACTCCTATGGTAATGATGATGTTAGCCAAGCAAATGTTGGTCCATATCCCAGTTGAATGGGAAATGAGATGATTTGAAGTTCAATAAATGAATGATGGGGATCAATAATCAAACATGATATTTCATCCTACACTTTTAAAACTCAGAGGTAACGCAAGATATAAATTTGTGGTAAATGCGCACAATCTATATGATATTTGTAAGAATTTAGAACATTGTTTAAGGGGAAATTTAAAATTTATCCAGATATTAGTTAAAGATAGATTGCATTGTGAGACTTCAACCCTTTAATATGATTTAGCTACTACTATATAGCTCGTGTATGATTGACTAGAGATGGAAATAGAAACATTCACCAGTGGAGCTGCTGAAAATATATGGTAGATTGATTGGAGATAATACACTACTTAGATATTTCGCTCTTTATTTTACAATAAATTTTTGATATCATTTTAGGTTTCTTATAGGCTCAAATTCATATGATTTCTTACTGCTCTTGGAGATGAAAAAGAACTCTCAACTAATGTTAGTTGTAGGTAGGTGATCATGCTTAACACTATGTAAATTTGATTGAAATCTATTTCCTATTAGCTTAAAGGCAATCTTGTGCAGAATAATGCAAAACCCTAACAAATTTGATTGTTTTTTTCACATTGTTTTACCCAAAAAAAAAAAAATGGTTACGTAGACCCTAGTCTACTTATTCAGAAGATTTAGTTGATCCCTGAGAGTTATGTGTCGTGTTGTTCAAGGAGATTTTATAGATTTGAGATGGATGTTTGTTTAAGGAGATAAACAACTTTAGCTTGGAGAGGGTTTTATATCCTATCAAGTGCATTTCATGGTTCATAGCTCTAGGGTTCTTAAGCCATTTGGAAATTTATGAGCTTTGACCACAATTATAATTTAATATTATTAGCAGAATTCAAGTTTGATGGTTGAAGTGGAGGAATGCATCGGGCTTTTTGTGTGATAGAAAAGAACCCATCAAACTTAGGGGAAAATTCTATAAGATGGTAGTGAAGTGAGGCCTGCAATGCTTTATGGTGCTGAATATTGACCATTAAAATAGAAGCATAATATTAAGTTAAGTGTGGCAGAGATGAGGATGCTCAGGTGGATGAGTGTCTTTACCCTTAGAGATAGGATACGAAATGAGCATATACGTGAAAAGGTTGGAGTAGCTCCAGTAGGAGATAAGATTAGAGAGAGTCGCCTTAGATGGTTTGGTCACATAAAACGGCGGCCTTCCAATGACCACCCGTTTAGGAGAGTAGAGGTATTAGATTTGACTTATGTTAAGAAAGGTAGATGCAGACCTAAAAAGACCTGGTTAGAAAATATTAGGAATGACCTTTCTTTATTAGATTTAAACGAGAATTTGACCTTTAATAGGACACAATGGAGAAAAAGGATTCATATAGCCGACCTCACGTAGTGGGAGAAAGGCTTGATGTTGTTGTTGCTGACCACAATTATAATTTAATGGCATTATTTTAGAGTGAAATTACCTGGCGAGAGGGACCTAATCACAATTGTTTGTCTGTGGTACCATTTGAAATTGAAATTATTTTTTATAGGACATATGCCTCATCCTTATTAGCATGATATCTTTTGAGAGTAAACATAGCGATATGGCCATACAAGATATTAGCTCTTTATGAGCAAACACTAATTTTAAATTTGTCAAATCCATCAAACTGTTATAGAGGATGAATGTATTTCTCTTTAAAGTTTAGGCGACAAATTTTACTTACAATATATATATATATATATAGCAAGACAAAATTATAAAAAGGGGAAATAAATGTATTATCTATCATTTTTCTAATTAGATAATATGATACCTTACATGCCATTAGAAAATTTTTAAAAAATTACCCATTTAAAATGAAATTTTAGTACCAACATTAAATTTTTTTTAGCTCTAGTTTGGATTTTTAGCAATTTTGACCCATTCTTGAGCCCGAGCCGGCTTGACTCGGATGCACCCCTAATTTTGACCCTTTCTTGAGAAAGAATAACTTTGGTTTGAGCTCAAATCATTCACAACTGCATTCTAGGAGAGATTATTCTGTGCAGACACCGGACGGTAGAACCATTCAGTTACGTTTGGTATCGAGCACGGTATATTTTTGGGATGACGTGGCATATTTTTATTGGTCTCCGGACACATCCGGATTCCACATAGAATAATAAATCCTATTCTAGCCAGTATTTTTCATGTTGGCCATTGCTGTCACCCTGCACAAACTTCTTCCTTATTGTGTTCTCTTCCATTTTCTCTCTTTTGCAGAACGAGCTCGCCATTCTGGAATTTATTCATCTTTTGGTGGAGACTATGGATCGACATTTTGGAAATGTGGTATGGCTTCCAAGCTAAAACCCAACTAACCTTCATATTTAAAAGGTAACGGCATTCTGATCACATTGACAACTACCTTTGTAATTGTTTTTTTTTTTTTATTAGTGTGAACTAGATATCATGTTCCATCTGGAGAAGGCTCACTTCATGCTGGAAGAAATGGTCATGAATGGTTGCATAGTTGAGACTAGCAAGAGCAATATTTTGAGTCCAATTCAGCTTATGGACAAAGGTTTTTAGTTTCATCTCTTCCCTCTTTGTCCACAGGAATTTGTTGTTCCATTATACTTTTTCTTATCTGTTTATTATTCTTTTTTAATCTTGAACAAGTTTTCCTTTCTTAATGACTCAAATGGTTTCTTAGGGTTTTTAAATCTCATTCTCCTGGTAAGAACTTGGCCTATCTGAAATTTTTTATAGCTTAAAAGTTTGAATGGCATTAAAAAAAAAAAAATCTGAATGTTTAGATCAAAATTTTGTGAGAATGAATATCAAAATTATAAGATTTATCTTGAGATCAAAAAAATATATGATGATTCAATTAAAACTTTGGATTGATTTAGGCATAACTCATCAATCTGAGTCGGTTTTGAGTAATAAAAAACATTTATTTTTGTAATAAAAACTTCAATCCAATGGTCTGAATCATTTAAAAAAGATTAAAATGTCATTAAATTAATCTTTTGAATTTATGCTACCTCATACTATGCGGAGACCAGATGGCAAGAACCGTTCTGATTTATTATTGTTTTTTTGCTACGTTTTTATAATTACTCAATAAAATGATAATAAATATGTATTCATAATTACATATTTATTGCCTTATTGTTGAGTATTTATAAAAGCATAATAAAAGGACAGTTAAAGTACATTAAATATTCTAATAATTGAATAATATATATATATATATATGATTATCCATTAAATATTATTTTGAGTAATGATTATCTTTATTAATGAGTATCAATTGAAGCAAAAATAACTTCTCCATTGTGAGCATGAAGTACAATTTCAATACTAAAACAAGCAAATTTTATTTTATTTTTATTCAGCCATGAAATCAAATGAGAGTTGCAAGAAAAATAAAAAAATAGTGATAGATTTACAATTTATAAGATCTCCAATCCAATTGAAATTAGTATAAACAATAAGAATAGGTTGTGATGAGTTAGAATAATGAAATCCACAATTAAGAGCAGCTAAAAAATAATAAAAAAGATGAAGTGCAACATATATTAGGTAGAGTGAGACAGAACAGGAGTTAAATTTACATACTGCATTGCATAGACAATAATAAGATTGCTAATAGTGATAAATTAGTCTCTCAACCAATTATCAGTACATGGTGTGGGATCTATCATACGTGTCCTATCAAAAAACTTGAGAAGAGCGAGGCTCTAGAACTTGAGAAGAGCGAGGCTCTAGAGGAGTGATTATTGTGTTCGGACATCGAACGCGTCCAGAGACCAATAACAACGTGCCACGTCACTTGGAGCTGGGTACCGAACTCTCGGTATCGCTCGGTATACGTCCGGATTTTCGATTTTTTGTCCGGACGTAATAACTTTTCCTGAAGGAGAGGAAGTACTTTTTTTTTTTAAGCAAAATAAAAATTTCATTCCAACAAAAATAAAGGTTACAAAGAAGCTAAAAAGCCAGTACGAAAAAGTTACAGAGATACAAAAGGATGATAGTGAGAACCATCGGGCTCAGCAACCGACATAGACTTCCAACCAATCCCAAACCAGGCCCCGGCCATCCAGTTTGGAAGGAGAAAACCAAAGGTTGCCACGAGCCATGGCTTAAGACAAGTGAGCCCACGCAACATCATTGCCCAAAAACCATAACTCGCAGCCAAGCAACCCACGACCACAGCCAACTGAGAGAGAATGTTAACCAACCAGACCATCCAAACAACACCACCAAGTACGGGCCAAGCATATGAAAACCGACAATTGATACAAATACCACCACCAAGAGTCCAAAGCACTCGACCACAATGCATCCAATCAAAAAATAAAATTAGAGCACAAGTGCAACCAAAAACAGATGCGAAGTCAGCCAAACACGAAAAGACGAAGAAGGTACCTTTACATGTCAATGAGACCAATCATTAAGAAGATTAATTTCATGCACCAATTGCAAAAGATAATAACTCGAAATGATTAGATGCTTAGGCTTCATTTGGGACAGCTTTCTTACTATTTTTTAAAGCATCTTTTTTTTTGTGCTAGAAAGCTACTTTAAGAAGGTGCTAAAAAGCTACTTTAAGTAGTAAGAAAGCTATCCCAAATGAAGCCTTATTCACTGCGTTTTAAAGTAATTTTTTATATTACAAATTTTTATACTAGAAAATTACTTTAGAAAGCAGTACGGAAGCCATCCCAAACAAAGCTTTAGATGTTTCATCTCAAAGTTGTGTTACATAGAACTTCATTTTCCAGATCTCACCATTGTGGTAGAAATTTTGAGCATCCATTTAAAAAAGAGCTATTGATGAATAGCAACAAATAATGAGTGGAGATTACACAATGTCTAGTGGGCAACAAAAGCTAAAGTTTCAGCAGTCAGCATCGTACTCTAATGTGAAGCCTTCAGCAAATTCTCAGTCATTCAAGCTATCCATTTATAGTCCACAAAAGATTTTTCAAGCAATCTTTCTAAATAAGGAGAGCAATACAATTTTTTTTTTTCAATTAGTGCAGTAAAATGAAAGCTTACAAATGAGAATATTAGAGCAAACCTGAATAATAATTTGCAAATCAGAGTAAAATATATGGACGAGCTTGCTCCATGGGATGGAAGGCGCTCTAAAAGCTTTCCAATAAAGTAGTCAATTGCATATTGCACATTTTGCTTAAAGATCATTGGTTAGCAATTACTTAAATAACATAATATGCATATCATAAAGAGGAACTGATACGCCTTGGAGATAAAAATAACAAACAAACAATGAAAACTACAGAAATATCAATATTAATGGTTGATTTTGGATTATAACTTCAATACGAAAAACAAGATTCATATGAGGAAGATTAGTTTTCCCAAACATTCTAAATGCCACTAGAAAGTCCTCACAAAGAAAAAAAAAAAAAAATCTACAGCCACTCTCAAATAAAATTCTCCATACAAAGAGTAATATAAACCTTACTACTCATAATAACAAACAATAAACAACAATCAAAACAGCCCTCAAATTTCATCCCAAATCTGCCCTCTCTAATTAGGAAACATTTCCTAATTAATCCCCTTTAAATCAACCCCAAAATCTGCCTTTTTTAATTAGGAAGCATCTCCTAATTAATTCTCTCCAAATCATAATTCAAATTAAATTACTTGCCTTAAATAATTCCCTCTTAATTGTAATTAAAATTTTCCTAAATACTTCCCTATGATTAAGAACCTTCCTAAATAGATTCCTCTTGATTAGGAAACTTCATAATTCTCTCTCAATCAAATCATTCGATCCATCAATACTCCCCTCCCAAAGTGTCACCTTATCCTCAAAGTGGAATGAAAGAAACTGTTGTTGAAGTACTAAACTAATAGCACTGTACTGAAAAATGGACTGTCACTGGGTCGAATAATCCCTGCCTCTAGCATCTCCCAAATCAATCTCAACAAACAACATAAGCTATCCTAACCCTAGGGTAAATCAACTATTTAAAGCAAACAATAAACAATAAAATAACAAAACAGCCCTCCATCAATTCCTCTCAAATCAGCACCCAAATCTGCCCGCTTCAATTAAGAAATATCTCACAATTAATCCCCTACAAATCAGCCCACAAATCTACCCTTTTTAATTAAGAAGCATCTTATAATTAATCCCCTTTAAACAAGAATTTAAATTAAATCTCTTCCCCTAAATAATTCCCTCATAAGAGTAATTAAAATTTTCCTAAATAATTCCTCTTTGATTAAGAACCTTCATAAATAACTTCCTCATGATTAGAAAACTTCCTAATTCCCTCCTAGTCAAATCGGCCGGTCCATCATTAACATAAGAGTCATAGGAAAACTTGAAAAACAGCATTGTTTTAGCTGAAATCTTATAACAAATAAGCCTTTTTCAGAATGCAAATATTTGAAATCAAGTCAAATAGAGGAAAATTAAGGGCCAGCTTACTAAAAACAGCGTATGTATCTAAAACCAAGTTTCTTAAGAAAGGATGCTCTCACACAATAAATAGCCCTTTTGCATGCAAAAATTGAAAATCCATGTATGAACAAGTTCCAATTAATAAATATATGGTAACTAAACAAAACTAGCTGCAGGCGACATTTAACTTGTTAAAAATCTTGAGATTCTCAAATTGAATCCTCCTTAAAAAGCATCTTAGCCGCAAGCATTTTCAATCAAACTAAATAAACTTGAATGAAAGTTTGCATTGTTCTGTAACATGAGCTTCAAGTTTGCGTTCCAACAAGATATGAATCCAAAATAATAGCCTTGTATTAAAGGGTTTATGTCATGATTATTAGATAAATTTTATGCTGATTGTCGACTACCTAATGTAATCCTCCATTTTTCTCATTCAGAACTTTAGACATGCCAATGACAGTATTTTCCAAAATAATAGCTTACCATTACTCATTAAATATTATTTACTTAACAATTAAAAGGCATATTAATTCTTCTAAAACATTACAGAGCAATCTCAAAAGCCCTGCAACTCATTAACATCTTTTTGGAGGATTGCATTCTGAAGTTGTAACGAGCTTTTGGACATGAACATTCCTAACAGAAATAAGATGTGCAAACATATTACATATTGGTAAACGACAAATAAAAAAGATATTATGATAATATCAAGCGAAGAATATCTCCCGAAAATTTGAAAGATTTTTCGGTCTCCTCAAGACAATGGTTCTTCTCTTCTCTAGACCAATCCTGAAAATTGGCAATTTGTGCATCTCAGTGAAAGAAAACAGTTTCAAGTGAAGTATTATGATGCAAATTAACAACAAGAGTTATGGTACAAGCCTTACATTAGCTACTTCATTGAGTTTCTCCCTTACATTCTGTAATAGCTGGCGAAGATCTCCTTCCCACTTGTAAAATTCAAGTTCTTTGCCATCCAGTATCTTCTCAGCCACCTAGAAAATGCAGAGAGATAAATCAATAGCCACTGTCAAGTAATAAATTCTCACATCCAAATTCATGAAATCGATGCGCTAACCTTCTATGGATGCTTTATCCAGAAGGTCAATACATGAGAAAAATATCAAATTTTGTAAAAAATGCCCAAGGCAATTTTTGTTATCATTTGAGATACTACAATCTTCGACTATTACAGAGAATATTTGCTCATTCCTCGATGATTTGCACAGCTAGTAAGACCAGGCTCTAATTTGCAAAGGTCAATTAGACAACATATCTAAATGCAGTTTTATTTTTGAGTTGCATCGCTGAAATCTATGGTTGTCTGCTAATGGCTCGACATTTACTAAGGTATCCGCTCAATTACTAAAGTCCCAGAACAAGTTAAATAAAACCCAAAAGATATCGAACTAATTAAGAAATATCTAATAAAAAATCAGTTCTGAAACATGAAAATTGATTCATCTAAAAGCTTAATAGATGCAAAATATCATTTTGATATAGTTTACAAAAATCCGACATACTTACAAATTTGTCTGCAGATAGATGTTAAAATGCAAATGTCTGCAAACTCAACAGTGTAAACAGCTACTGTATGAATCAAAGTCTGAAGAACTATGACATATACATGCAGACAAATTTACATGCAAGTATATCCGTCCATTATATATCAATGCAGCTACAAGCTCTACCATAAATTACCATAAATAACACATTTTTTACTGTTTGAACTCAAACTAGTCTATTAACTAAATTTTGATATCAGAAACAATTTAAAGAATTTTTGAAAATTTCATACAAAAAATTTGCACATTTATGGAAGGAAAAAAGGGGATCCCCAACAAAAATTCAGATTGATGCGGAGCATTTTAGCTTAAAATGTTCTTTAGGTTATTTTATTTAGTTTGTTACAAGTTTCTAGAATCTTGTAGGATTCTCTAGGTTTTGTCTATTTGAGTATTATATATATAGAATGTGTAAGAGGAATTGAGCATTGATGAATAAAATTATACATTAAGCCTTTGAGTTTTGTGCTTGTCATTGGATTGAGAATTCATTCTTGCAGTGCCGAGGTACTCTCGGTGCAGATATCACACCAAGAGAAACTCTTCATGTTAGGCAATGGCAGATGGAAATCCTCGCAATGCTCCCGACGACGATCGAAGTTCAGAGGCCCTCTGGAGGGAACAAACTAGAATGGCGAGACAGCTGGATGAACTCTCCGCTAACTTCAATCGACTCTCTGTTGAAGTTCGTCAAGAGTTGCAAACCAACCGGGGCCGAGGAATGGCGAACCCTACTACAAGAAGTAATTCCCAATCCAGGACAAACACAAAGCTCAAAGGCTTAAAGTAGAATTCTATTCATCAATGCTCCATTCTTCTTACACATTCCATATATATAATACTCCAATAGATAAAACCTAGAGAATACTAGAAGATTCTAAAGACATGTAACAAACTAAATAAAATAAGTTAAGGAACATTTTAAGTTAAAATGCTCCGCATCATTGATGAACAATTTGATGGATATATAATATTATAATTTCCAGGTATATATACGGATTGGAACATTTTAACTATCAGATAAAGAATTTGGATAATGATTGTGATTTGTAGTTATATATTGGTAGTTACTCATATATGCTCTATATCTGATGTGGGTACATCCCTAAGATACCCGTTTAAGAAATTTCTACACATAATTTTCATCATACCAAGCAAAATAAAGGAACCCTTAGGTAGGCCAAGTTCATTTGTTTTATGGATGTTATATGGAGCATTCTCCAACAATTTTCCATAGCCAACATATTCATGATAAAAGATTTGCGCTTCAATGATAATAACAATGAAAGATAGAAACAAACAGAATTGATATTTAATGTTTGTTTAGGATTAAGTAATTTTTTTGGCTTTAATTTGTTTTGTTTTTGTTCAACACATTTGTTATTCCAATTTCTAATTTTTTAAAAAATGATATAGCAATTTGTTCTATAAGTTAAAATAAAAACACATTTGTTGTGCCTACGCAAACCTCAAAACAAAACAAACTTTAACCATAGAAAAGGGCAAAAGCCAAAAATACCTTTTTACCAATCATACGACCACCAGCAGTATGAGCAAAATAGATGTTGTAAAAATGACAAATGAATGCCTGAGGATCCTTTACAGATAGCTCTTTCAATAACTGAGAATAAGTCAGTCCAGGAGTTGAAGGATCTGGAATTGCATGCCCTTGCTCCTTGAACCACTCTAAATCCTTGGTTAACTTTTCTGATCTTTCTAGACCTGTGCTCCTGAACTCAGCATCTGCAATGAAGATAAAGCTCTTCTTCAAAAGGAATCAACTGAAAATGCATGAAACGCACATTAATGATAATTCCATCACCTCACCCACACCCTCCAAAAGGAAAAAAGGAATAAAAAAAAAAGGTACCATGTCCATATCCATCGAAAAGAGAAAAAAAACCTGAACACTTCAGGACTTCTCTATTGATCGTATGCATACAGATATGTTGTAAAGCAATCATTCCACGTAGAAACCAAAAATTTAACTTCCACAAAAAATGGATGCCAACTTAAGTTTCGTTTGGGATAGCTTTTTTACTGTTTTCTAAAATAATTTTTTAGTTAAAAATGTTTACACTAAAAAGTTATTTTATAAAGCAATAAGAAAGCTGTCTAAGCCTTAGTTAATAAATATCATATGAAAGTTATTTGAAGTCCTTAGGATATAATCACGCACCTACACCAAATTTGTGATACTGTACTAAAAATTTTCCCCAAAAAAAAAAAATACAGTACTTTATGCAACACAGGTTCACACATTGTATTTTCTATCCATGACATCTTGATATCCCACAACCACCAACCAACAAAACTTTCTTTCACTTAAAAAAAGGATTAAATGTTTCTTTCACATCATCTTATGATTGAAGTGGACATAATACTGCAATGCAAACTATGAACACAAATAAGGCGAACAAATCAAAACAAAAAAGTTCCATAATTTACAAAAATAAATAAATTCAACGATTTTGGAACTCATCATAACAAAAAATTTGGGCAGGAAGTACTAGTTTTCAGGATCCTCTCTTTTCTTGATCTAACAGACAAAAAAGATCTGCAAATCTTAAGTAGAATAGAACACTATGCTATATCACAAGCATGCTCACTCATATACTATTCCTCCCATAGGAATAAAAGAATATACCAAAACACCCAACAGGAACATAAGCTAACACAGCAAGTAAAAGCGAGCAAGAAAAATCTCAAATCAGTGAGCATTACTCAAGCAAAATGACTTACACCAAGGACAAGCAGCCTCAGAAACGATGGACTCCAGAGTATCATACACTACCTTGCTGTCCACCAAGAAACGAAGATACCCTTCCACTGTCGGCTCCCATCTCGCCACTGGCTTCCCCTCCGGCTCCTTCTCACCTTCCTTAGCCTGGTCCCTAGTGTGCAGCTTCATCGCCACAGCTCTCATCTCCTCCACAAACCCCTTCACCTCATCCCCAGAACGCCGTTTGCTCGGCATCTCCGTTGCCGTCGCCTTCACAACTCCAGCGTTCCTCAGCCTGGCGCCGTTCATCCTCCGACGAGCACCGTGCCCCGTGGACAGCCTAGAACGCGGAACCAACACTTGAACAGCAGGAGTCTTGAAGAGGAGAGAGAGCGACGGGGTTCGAGTGTTTGAAAAGGATTGGGTTTGCGATATCGGCATTTGACAAGCCATTTAAAGGCGTGATCTTTGGGGTTGCTGAAGGAATGGAGATTGATTTTGATTCCGGACAAGTGCGGAAGAAGCTTCAATTGGGATAAAAAAAAAGCAGGAGAGGTAGAATTGGGTGGACTGCGGGGAATCGATTTCGTTCCGTAGACGTAAGGGGAATAGAGAGATGAAGTGAGGGTTTTAGAACCGGATCAACGGATGCTGAACAGATTGCTTCAGCGAAGGGAGAGGGTGAGTAAAAGAAGGCACCGCACCCCCACGCCTGAGGGCAAATTATTGCATCCTGACAAATAGATGCGTTCGGTCTCTCTCTGTCTACAGTAACCTGTGCGGTCTCTCTCTTTATAGTAATCTGTGCTTTACTGTAGCAGTGCTATAATAAAACGCAGGTTACTGTAGAACCGAACGTATCTCTGCGTTCGATCACCTGACTCAATAATTTGCCCACGCTGAGTCTGCTTTTATTCATTAATTATTTCATGTCGATAGAATTTGCGTCCAAATGGATATTCTTTTATCATATGATGCCCAACCCAACAACTGCGTTAGGTTTTTTTTTTATTATAGCGATTTTTTATATAAAATTTTTTAAGAACAGTGGAAAAGAAGTGGACAAAGGCTTTTCAAAATAAAGCCCACCTAAGTTTCTTTAAGGATATTTTTTATTATTTGACATTTCAGACCTTAATTACAGTTTTATTTAACTATTATTTTTTATTACTTTAAAAATTTTTATTGTAGAAAATTATTTTTTATAATAGTTTTTTTTCTATAACAATTTTACAATCTATTTTATAAAAAATTGTAGTTATTTCAAATGTATTATAAATTTTCTAAAAGTTAAAAAATCATGATAAAATTCGTGATAGTATGGGTCTCATTGCCCTTTGAGCTAAACTTAACTTGGGTTGGAGAGTTAAACTCAACAATCGATGTCGACGATTGACACAAACAAAAATATAGTCCAACCACCATCATCCAAATATTGTTGTTTAATTATAACTTTCTAATCACCATTGCTTAATAACATTCTCCTGATCACTATCGCCTAATTATCAAACTTACTTTTTATCTTCCGTCAAATTCTTTGCCAATAATTTTAATACTAGCCAATCTCATCATCTATCACTGTCAGCAATATTTACTCAAAGTATTATCTATATAGCTGATGAATGTTGTCAATGCACGCATTGCCTATAAGGCCAATGCAAGCTGTTGATGCATGTTATCAACACCAAAGCTCGGGCTCGTTGAATTTTTGGTTGTCATTACTTAACAACGATGCATGCTATCATTAATAAGGTCGATCATGACAACACCAACTCCGTCATTTGATGTCAACATCAAGATTTATATTAGACTTTTTTATCTGATTTCCTCTTTGCAAAATAGGATGATCAAATATATCGTAAAACGATCTCTGGAAGACAATTGTAATGCCTCTAAGAGCATCCAACTTCAACCTGGAAGTCCATCATTCACAGTTAATGTCTACCATACTGTGTCAACGCCTTCTCCATTTATGATAAAGACATCAATTTCAACCTACAACATAAACAAGTGGATCATTTCATGGTGGAAGATCCGTCCCCCTCATATGTGTACTTAATTTTTGTACAAAACTAAAATATTTAAATATTTGATTGAATTGCTTGCCATGAATTTCTTGCACTTTGATGCGATTTGAACACTAAAGTGGTACATAGAAAATTTTGGGTATGCATATAAACAATACACCACCCTATAAGAGAAATTAAAATTTTTTTTCCATGGCCCATAGTTGAGAATCTCATGATTTTCCAAGCATCAACAATGATAGATTTATTGAAAGGATTTGAGATTTGATGGTCGGATGAGAAAGTGATTTTTAATTCGTAAATTTAAGTCATCAGTATTATAATTTATGATCAATTGTCTCATTTGTTGCATCGTAAATCTTTATCTAATGGGCAAATTTTCAATCTTATGTTGATGAAATATAAATCCCAACTTTTTTATAAAATAATTATCTCAAATCTTAAATTAAAATATTCAAATTTCTTAAAATTCAATATAGAATAATTTAGAGTAGTTTTTCATAACACTCATTTAAGATAATTTTTTAAGAAAATATTTATTGACATATTTAAAATTTTATTAATAAAAGCAGACCAAAATCAAGAAAGACATGAGACAAAGAGGGGGAAGAGGGGCAATGAGGTTTCTCCTAAAGTGCAAGAAATACAAAAACTGATGTGACATTAAATGTCTCTTCCTCTGATCTCCTGTTACATCATAAATTTGGATCTAGATAGTACACTTTGAAATTATTACTTGATTGCTTCAACAACCATCATACATTCTAAGGGGTTAATATGTAGCCACATACTCATGGAGGCTTGATTGTTGAGCGGGTGGTAATCTCGTTCTGGGTTCGAATTTTCTCTACTGCAGCCTCCCCTCTTCAATGGAGCAAGGCAAATATGAGCCCGATGTCAGTGAGTGGCCTCGTTATGTTCCGCCGAGGAATTAATTACGCCGTCAAATGCTTCTTTTAAAATGTTAGCGGGTAAATTCCCATTTCGCCACTGGCTTCCCCTCCGGCTCCTTCTCCCCCTCCTTAGCCTGGTCCCTAGTGTGCAGCTTCATCGCCACAGCTCTCATCTCATCCACAAACCCCTTCACCTCATCCCCAGAACGCCGTTTGCTCGGCATCTCCGTTGCCGTCGCCTTCACAACTCCAGCGTTCCTCAGCCTGGCGCCGTTCATCCTCCGACGAGCACCGTGCCCCGTGGACAGCCTAGATCGCGGAACCAACACTTGAACAGCAGGAGTCTTGAAGAGGAGAGAGAGCGACGGGGTTCGAGTGTTTGAAAAGGATTGGGTTTGCGATATCGGCATTTGACAAGCCATTTAAAGGCGTGATCTTTGGGGTTGCTGAAGGAATGGAGATTGATTTTGATTCCGGACAAGTGCGGAAGAAGCTTCAATTGGGATTAAAAAAAAAGCAGGAGAGGTAGAATTGGGTGGACTGCGGGGAATCGATTTCGTTCCGTAGACGTAAGGGGAATAGAGAGATGAAGTGAGGGTTTTAGAACCGGATCAACGGATGCTGAACAGATTGCTTCAGCGAAGGGAGAGGGCGAGTACAAGAAGGCACCGCACCCCCACGGTGAGTCTGCTTTTATTCATTAATTATTTCATGTCGATAGAATTTGCGGGGAATCGATTTCGTTCCGTAGACGTAAGGGGAATAGAGAGATGAAGTGAGGGTTTTAGAACCGGATCAACGGATGCTGAACAGATTGCTTCAGCGAAGGGAGAGGGCGAGTACAAGAAGGCACCGCACCCCCACGGTGAGTCTGCTTTTATTCATTAATTATTTCATGTCGATAGAATTTGCGTCCAAATGGATATTCTTTTATCATGCTGATGCCCAACCCAACAACTGCGTTAGGTTATTTTTTATAGCGATTTTTTATATGAAAATTTTTAAGAACAGTGGAAAAGAAGTGGACAAAGGCTTTTCAAAATAAAGCCTACCTAAGTTTCTTTTAGAGATATTTTTTATTATTTGACATTTCAGATCTTAATTACAGTTTTATTTAACTATTATTTTTTATTACTTTAAAAAATTTTATGCTAGAAAATTATTTTTTATAATAGTTTTTTTTCTATAACAATTTTACAATCTATTTTATAAACAATTGTAGTTATTTCAAATGTATTATAAATTTTCTAAAAGTTAAAAAATCATGATAAAATTCATGATAGTATGGGTCTCATTGCCCTTTGAGCTAAACTTAACTTGGGTTGGAGAGTTAAACTCAACAATCGATGTTGATGATTGACGCAGACAAAAATATAGTCTAACCACCATCATCCAAATATTGTTGTTTAATTATAACTTTCTAATCACCATTGCTTAATAACATTCTTTTGACCACTATTGCGTAATTATCAAACTTAACTTTTATCTTCCGTCGAATTGTTTGCCAGTAATATTTGATGCATGCTAGCATCTAAAATCCAATGCACACAATTGATACTAATCCTAACACTAGCCAATCTCGTCATCTATCACTGTCAGCAATATTTACACACATTATTATCTATATATATAGCTGATGAATGTTGTCAATGCACGCATTGCCTATAAGGCTAATGCAAGTTGTTGATGCATGTTGTCAACACCAAAGCTCGGGCTCGTTGAATTTTTGGTTGTCATCACTCAACAACGATGCATGCTATCATTAATAAGGTCGATCATGACAACACCAACTCCATCGTTTGATGTCAACATCTAGATTTATGTTAGACTTTTTTATCTGATTTCCTCTTTGCAAAATAGGATGATCAACGATCTCTGGAAGACAATTGTAATGCCTCTAAGAGCATCCAACTTCAACCTGGAAGTCCATCATTCATAGTTAATGTCTACCATACTGTGTCAACGCCATCTCCATTTATGATGAAGGCATCAATTGCGAACTACATCATAAACAAGTGGATCATTTCATGATGGAAGATCCGTCCCCCTCATACGTGTACTTAATTTTTGTACAAAACTAAAATATTTAAATATTTGATTGAATTGATTGCCATGAATATCTTGCACTTTGATGCGATTTGAACACTAAAGTGGTACATAGAAAATTTTGGGTATGCATATAAACAATACACCACCCCATAGTTGAGAATCTCATGATTTTCCAAGCATCAACAATGATAGATTTATTGAAAGGATTTGAGATTTGATGGTCGGATGAGAAAGTGATTTTTAATTCGTAAATTTAAGTCATCAGTATTATAATTTATGATCAATTGTCTCATTTGTTGCATCATAAATCTTTATCTAATGGGCAATTTTTCAATCTTATATTGATGAAATATAAATCCCAACTTTTTTTATAAAATAATTAACTCAAATCTTAAATTAAAATATTCAAATTTCTTAAAATTCAATATAGAATAATTTAGAGTAGTTTTTTCATAACACTCATTTAAGATATTTTCTTAAGAAAATATTTATAGACATTTTTAAAATTTTATTAATAAAAATAGACCAAAATCAAGAAAGAAATGAGACAGAGGAAAGAGGGGCAATGAGGTTTCTCCTAAAGTGCAAGAAATACAAAAAACTGATGTGACATTAAATGTCTCTTCCTCTGATCTCCTGTTACATCATAAATTTGGATCTAGATAGTACACTTTGAAATTATTACTTGATTGCTTCAACAACCATCATACATTCTAAGGGGTTAATATGTAGCCACATACTCATGGAGGCTTGATTGTTGAGCGGGTGGTAATCTCGTTCTGGGTTCGAATTTTCTCTACTGCAGCCTCCCCTCTTCAATGGAGCAAGGCAAATATGAGCCCGATGTCAGTGAGTGGCCTCGTTATGTTCCGCCGAGGAATTAATTACGCCGTCAAATGCTTCTTTTAAAATGTTAGCGGGTAAATACTCCGTTCCAAAACAAAAAAAAAAAGATGCTAGATGTATTTAAGTGTTGAAATTAAAATTTAACTTCAAATGTAATTTAAAAGAGAAAAACTAGCACAACATATAGCAAATTTTTTGCCACATTTGCTATGAACTCCTATAGAACACAATTAATTTGTGCTCAGAAAATTGACTAATGAACTTTGAATGAAACTTGATACCATCAATGGGCAAGAAAATCAAATAATCTAAATAGTCCAAGATTAATTTGCTTGGTATGAATTAAAATTTTATATCAGTCAACTCAGATGAAACCATTATGAACATGTTCATATAATTCTCCAATATTGCTAATAATTTAGTTTTTCTTCACAAATACTTTCAAATGAGAAGGCCATACATAAATATTAAGATTACCCAAGGAGCTAGCTTAATCAACTCACATTCATGGGCTTAGAGCAGCTTCTCTAATTTCCATTAGCCAACGCAAGTAGTCTGAAAAGTTACTATGCAGAGCTTGCCTCAGGCATATCTGCAATCTTTCAAAGCTTCAGAATCCAACCAGATTATTTACCAATGAATATTCAATAATCTGGAGCACAATTATATCACAAAAAGAATGAAATATACTTATGTCCTGAGAGCCTTAAAAGAATAAACGAAATACTATCAATGCTGCATGGAACGTGAAGCTCTATTTGTCAGGCTATCAGTTAAGAATATAGTTCTGTCCAGGCTTAACGGAGCTGAACCAAGCCAGATAGCCTTGAGTTCTGTTGACAAGGAATTTAGTTATCTTTCCAATAACTTTCCAATAAGGTGCTTCAGGGGGATGAACTAGCCTTAAATGTTCGCCGAAATTCAGTCGAAGAGCGGCACAGAGTCCATGCAAAGATGGACCAGTTTCCGTTGATACTCGCCATAAAACTCGCTAACGGCAAACACATCATCATCGTCGATATTCTTGCTGGGTAAAATGAACTTTATTTTACTATCAACTATACCATCTGATGGATCATGGGAAGATTCTGATTCAGAGCGCATTTGTGCGTATATCTCATGGCAAGCAACCAAGAACATGGCAGCTGTGTCTGGAAGCTTTGCATCACGGAGTGCTGCGAATGCTTCTTGCAATGCTCCTGCAGCAACATAGAGAACCAAAGCTCTGCAGGTTTGGAATTTGATTTGTTAGCCGAACTACAGAGAATTTGTATGACTTCTTTATTTATTCCGGGAAAGGAAATTAATAAAAATGTAGGTCACCTCCATATGTTATGTTCATTATGGAGAACATTGTCAGCCCATCTAAGCAACACCCTGAAAAGTGGTAAGAACAATTTAGTTTATTTGATGAAGAGTATCTCTGTAGCATTTAAAATCAAGGTTTTGAAAACCGGACCGGACAACGAACCGGAACAAGGAGGGGTTCACGGTTCGACCGGTTCAACCGGTCTAACCGGGGTCGAACCGGATGACGTAATAAATAATAAGTATTATTTAAATTTAATACAATTAACATAAAAATAATGTTATCATTCAAAGTATGAGATAAAAAATTAAATTAAAAAAATTATGAAACATAAAAACTTATATAATTAAGTAAAATAATTATTTTAAAATCTTACATAAAAGCAAAAAGAAAATTAAATCTCATAATTATAAGAATTTACACTCATAAAAATATGATAATTTTAAATTTGAATATTTTTCAAATTTTAAATTTAATTTATATCCTTGCACCAAGGAGCACATGGGGAGGTCATGTGAAGATGTGGCATGATGCTTTGAGTACAAAAGTGCTTATTATATAAAGTGTATTTAACTTTAATTAAATGTTTTTAATATATATTAATTTATTTATTTAAAAAAATACTTAAAATTTGTGAGATTTGAACCGGCCGGTTCAAAAATAACCGGACCGGTTCACCGGTTCGCGGTTGAACCGGCCGGTTTTGACCGGTTCAGTCCGGTTCTTTGCAGAAGCGGTTTTAGGGCTGAACCAGATCGGCCTTGTGACCGGTTCACGGTTGAACCGGTCGAACCGGCCGGTCCGGTCCGATTTTTAAAGCACTGTTTAAAACCATGCAGGAGCAAATTAATGATTCTTCAAATACTGTAAAAAATGTAAAAAAGTGGGAAAATCTATAACCATGATAAATGAACAACCTCACCTCATCAAGTTAATTGACAAAGAGAAACTGTCGAAATGAGCTCTAGTGGAAGATAAGATTAGAGAGAGTCGGCTTAGATTGTTTGATCACATAACACAGCGGCCTTTCGATGACTCGGTTAGAAAAAGTTGATGTATTAGATTTGACTTATGTTAAGAAAGATAGAGGTTGATCTAAAAAAAATTGGTTAAAAAAAAAATAGAAATGATAATTCTTTATTTGGTTTAAATGATAACAGAATGCAGTGGAGAAAAAGGATTCATGTACCCAACCCCACAGTGAGATAAAGGCTAGATATTATTGTTGTTGTTGTAGCATCTTGATAAATTTTGTACGAAGAGAGAAAGTTAAGTTTCTGATAAGTTATGAACCAAACATCAAAAGAATAGTGCAGTGTTGCAACATCTTCCCATTCCAAAGTGGACATAAGAAGAGATTGCTTATGGATTTTACAATAAGTTTATGCAAATCTGTAAAGGGTCATGATGCAATATTGGTGGTAATAGGGAGACCGTGAAAATAGTTCATTCTCTACCCATCAACCATACTTGATGGATAAGCTGGCAAAGGTTTATATAGACAAAATTAATTTATTAACAAAGCTGGAGGATCAGAAAAAAAAGAGAGGGGAGCCAGAGGTAACAGTTCAGGTAACTCTTACAGGATGACTATCACTCTCTTAGCACCCAAGAGGCTTGTATCGGGCAACATTCGTGAGACCCCAAGGGAGAAGCCAGTAGGAGGAAGTAGGGTGAACTTGAAGAGACTGACAGAGAGGGAGATGAAGGAGAAGAGGGTGTAGGGGCTACGCTTCAGATGTGATGAGAAGTATACTTCAGGGCATAATGCAATGATCGAACTCTTCAGGTTCTCACCGTCTATGATGACGAGGAAACTGAGGGAGGTGAGAGTGAGATAGGGGGAGAGGAGGACAAGCTGCATCTTGATGTGGCAGAGGTCTCCTTGAACTCAGTGGTAAGATTCACTCCGAGTCATACCATGAAGGTGAAGGGAGAAATAGTAAACATAGAGGTGGTGGTGTTGATTAACATTGAGACTACCCACAATTTCATCTCCAACCAGGTTGTGGACCAATTGGGGGTGACATTGGTGGATACATGGTGTTATGGAGTGATGATGGGAACAAGGAATGTGGAGACGGGCCAGAGGGTATGTAGGGGAGTAGTGTTGACCAAACAAGGGGCTCAGGTGATGGATGATTTTTTCTTATTGGAGTTAAGGAGAACTGATATCATCCTGGGGATGAAGTGGCTGCAGACGACACCAAGGTCAACTGGGGAGTATTGACGATAGAGTTCGTAGTGGAAGAGAGAAGATAGTGATCAGGGGAGATACAGGGATCTCCAAGGACATAGTATCACTTAAAATCATGATGAGGACCATGCAGGAGGTGGGAGAAGGCTACCTGGTGGAGCTACATAGGCTGGAGGTGGTTAGATTAGAGGAGGGTGGGGACATTTCTCTTTTAGTGCAGCCATTGATTCAACAGTTCAGTGAGATTTTTCAGCCACCTTAGGGATTGACACCACTAAGGGAGTAGGAGCATGCTATCACCTTGAGGGAAAGTGTGTCACCCATCAGTGTCAAGCTCTATCGCTATCCTTAATTTCAAAAGGATGAAATTGAGAAGTTGATCAGACATATGGTGGAAGCAAGGATTATCAGTCCCAATGTGAGTCCTTTTCTAGCCCTGTGTTACTAGATAAGAAAAAGGATGAGAGTTGGAGGTTTTGCGTGGAATATAACGTGGTGAATAAGGAGACTGTGTCAGAAAAGTTTCCCATCCCAGTGATAGATGAGTTATTGGATGAGCAGAGTGAGGCAGTTATTTTCACCAAGATAGATCTGAAGTTAGAATACCATCAAATCAGAATGAAAAGGAAGGATGTACCAAATACTTCTTTTAGAACTCAAGCGGGGCATTATGAATTTGTAGTGATGCATTTTGGCTTTACTAATGGCCCAGGCTCCCAGCCACTTTCCAATCCCTCATGAACAAGATTTTCCGACCCTATCTCAGGCGATTTTTGCTTGTATTTTTTGATGATATTCTGGTTTACAACAGGTCAGATGATGAGCACTTGAGAAATGTTTTAAAGGTGTTACATGAGCATCAACAGAGGCCCAATTTAACAAAATGTTGTTTTTCCTAGGCCAGTGTGGAGTACTTGGGACATGTAGTCTCTCAAGAGGGTGTAGCTGCAGATCAGACTAAAATTGATGCTATATTGAGATGGCCACTGCCCAAGAATCTCAGGGAGCTAAGAGGATTCCTAGGACTGACTGGTTAATATAAGAGGTTCGTGAAGGGTTATAGCACCATCACAAGGCCATTGACAAAACAATTGAAGAAGGATGATTTCTTATTGGGGAGGCGACCACAACAGCTTTTGAGAGATTGAAGAAGGCCATGACCATTTTACTGATTTTGGCCCAACCCGATTTCACTCAGGTCTTCATAGTGGAGACAAATGCCTTAGGGTATGGAGTGGGAGCAGTACTCATGTAGAGCCATCGACCAATCGCCTACTTCAGTTAGAGCCAGGCTGAAGTCAATCTATGAGAGGGAATTGATGACCATTGTGCTAACCATCCAGAAGTGGCTATTAGGTTGGTATTTCATTGTTAGGATGGACCAGCGGAGTTTGACGTACTTGTTGGAGCAGAGGATGGTGACAGAGGAGCATCAGAGATGGTTGTAAAAGTTATTAGGATATGACTTTGAAATTCAGTATAGGCCGAGTACATAGAACAAGGTAGCGGATGCCTTGTTCAGATGTATGGGGGAGTTATAGACGATAGCAGTGTCAATATCATTGATGTTGGATTTGAGAGCCCTTAAGGAGTAGAGTGCACGGGATGAGGAACTGGGGAAGATCTAGGTAGATTTATTGAAGGATGGGAGTAGCCATCCATGCTATTCTTTAGAAGATGAGAGGCTTTGTTCAGATGTATGGGGGAGTTATAGAATGATCACTTAGTTTAATGCTTAACTATGCATGTGTTACTAATTATTATTTTTTCTTAATATTTTATTATAAATATTTTTTTTGCATGTATTAATAATTAGATACTCCTTATGATACTAATTAGGGATGCAAAAGTGAAGGCTGAAAATATTAATCTTATAATATTTTTTGTTAATTAAAATTTTATAGAAAATTCAAGAGTTAATTTAGTCGTCACAATGAAATTTATTTAAAATAGATTAATATGAGACATTAAATTTAAGAGCTATGTCCTGTCATGCCATCAAGGGTATATCGATCAGAGGTGAGTTAGCTTTACATATAGAAGGAGCTATTGAGATGGATGTAGTAAGTATGCATTAAAGTATAAGTTATGATATGAAAAGCCCAATACATATTCAAGTTGAATGTCATGATTCCATTATTATTCATAATTCTAAAAACTAAGCAATATTTATGATCATAATTAATAATGAAATAAGAAGCCAAGTTTTAAGCTTTTTTTATAGATTATTGAATATGATGACGGGCATGCATATTCTTTCTTTTTTCCTTTGAGCTACTATAATTTAGAACAATGATATACCAGTTGATTTGTATATTTATAACTCATCTCCATTAGTTAATAATTTTTTTAGAAAAATCCCTAATAGATGAAATGGATGAAAGAAGGGATTTTATTTATAACAAACGGAAAAGCAACAAATGTTAGGTACTTACATAATTATGTTAGTTGTATACTATGACGCACAGACATGGACACGGACACGACACAGGACACGTCAATTATTGAAAATATAGGACATATACACGGTATTATTGTTTTTATATTTTAAAAATAGTGTATAAAAATTGAATAAGTATATTTTTAAAAATAATTTAGAAATAATAAGTCATTTAACTATAATTTATGATTAAAAGGATTAATATTAGGATATGTCATGAGCCGGGCGTCGATTTCGTTTATCAGTCATCGAGAGAGGAGATGACAATGCTGTCGAGACTCGGGCATTGATGTTATGCAATAAATATTGATTGTCAATGTTAAAGGGCGTTTATTGTCGATGTTGAGAGAGTGTTGGTCGTCGATGTTGAGAAGGCGTTGGACAAAGATGAGATGTCAAGTTGTGGGTGTAGAAATTGGTAGTATCGAGCATCAATACAAAGACAGCGTCAAACTTTGATATGGAGATCGTTTAGAAATATTGACGTTGAAACGATGCCAGACGTCGATGTTGAGATGATATCGGACATTGTTGTGAAATCAAAGTGGTAACCCGTCAAAGAGAAATGAAAATGAAAATATTCGATGAATGAGATATCAAGTGCAGACGATTGATTTGATGTTGTGGATATGAAATAAAAAACTTAGTTTTTATATTTTAAATAAGTAAAAATTTTAAATACAAAAAATTATATTTTAAAAAAATTATAAAATATTTAGGATATGCGTATCAGACTCGTGTGTCCAATTTGTATTTAATATTTTATTAATTGGACACATTTCAACGTGTCCGACACGTGTCAGAAGAGTGTCGGACGCGTGTCGTGTTGGAGTGTTGGACACGTGTCGGACACTGCACGCCTCTTTGAGGAGAAGTGTCGGTGCATCATAGGTTATATAAAATAGTTTATATGTTTTTCCTTTAAATATTTATTTTATGCCATTTGCACTGTTTCAAGATGTTTGTGAACAGCTTCACAGTGAATGAAAGTTTATGGTTTGGTAGCTCTTTTGTGGGAGCCATACGAGAAGGAAAAATTATTTTAAAACTATTTTATTTGTTGAATGTGCTATACTTCAAATTTCATTTCGATTGCCTGTTCTCATCTCGATACTCTAGTATCCTATGCCTGGTTGTGACAGCAAGCGTGCCTGTGCACTTATGGCTCTAATTTGCCACCAACAGGAATGATGGACATATGGGTTGTGCCTCATTTGTGCTGATAAGATAAGCATCAATTTGTGTTAAGTACCTTCCCATCAATAAGAATAAAAAACATATGAGCAACATCCTAATTATGCCGACAGGTGATATATTAAGCAGTGACGAGTTAAGTTTAGAATACACTACTATTAGTAGAGTTCCAAAGATAAAATATACAATTATTTACCTTAAAATAAAAAAGTTGCCCTTTCTGCTATGATCCATAATGATGATGAACAAATGCTATTGATAATGCCTAGCACATAAAATGTTATGAAAAATGCTATGATCACGTTACAACCTACGCCATGATAATGGTTATTATGTCTAATGCTATGTTCGTGTATAAATAAAATCAAAGTTCAACGATCCACATTCACATTGCTTCCTTTCCTATAATCTACTATTATATAGAATTTTGATATACCCACAATGTTAAATATTTATAGATAACTCACCCCTATTAGTGGATGAACATTTTTCAAGAAAGCCTCCAATGGAGAAGATGAGTCCAATATAGGATTTTGTGTACAACAAATACGAAGCACCTTTTGTTAGGCGCACATGTAATTAGGATTGATGTATAGTGTTCCTAGAGACCTAGACACTTTTGATTCATAACTATTATATGGTTTGTTGAATTCATAAAATTTGAGGTGTTTATCTGGATGGATTATATAAGGAGGAGACAGCATATGGATGTTACATATACATCTAGAGTTTTGTATCTTGCATATTTGGTTGTTAGTTTGAGCGGATTTAGAACTATTATGACATTGACCAACCTATTCTGTCTTGGGCTGAGAATAGAAACCAACTCAATTTTGAAAGCTACAGTGGATTCATTGTAGAATATTACAAAATTTACTCGAACCTATCCTAATTTTCTCACCTAATACTAAGTCTAATGCTAAACCATCTTTTTGGGTAATAATAATATCTACGATTTTGCATACACCAGACTTGTCCGACAATGGATGGAATGAGATGGCATGCCATCAAAATAATTGATAATCATGATCATACAACACTGAACCTCTGTTTCAGCCCAAAGATCCAACGGTTCCTAGTTATTTCAGTTAACTGTGTTAATTATAAACATCATAAGAAATACATGCAAATTAGTAAAGAATTTCTAAAATATGAATTTGATTAGTGCTCATATGGAACCAACCTTGCATAGTCTGATCCATGCAAATGTGTAGAAGCCAAAGTTGCTGCATCTATCCAGCATCCAGCATCTTGCAACTGAAACATGCAAAAGCATCATTATTGACCCCATTTCATAAGGTAAAATGCTTCCCGTTCAATACATTTAGCCACAAAAATCAACAACAAAGATGATAACCATGCTTCATATCAGAAATTATTCAAGTAGAATATTAATATAGTTACTCTTCGACCATCTCTAACCAAAAACAAGAAGATAATTTATGAAGATATGTGGTAACTGGTAAGAGTCTCAACAGTTTGAATCATGCAGTTCAAACTATGATGCACCGATACTTCCCTCAAAGAATCATGCAGTGTCCGTCAATTATCTGACACGACACACGTCTGACATGCTGAAAATGTGTTTGATTTAAAAATTTATGAAATACAAATTGGACACACGTTTCTTAAATATTTTAAAAAAATTATAAAATATAATTTCTTTTATTCAATTTTTTATATTTAAAATATAAAAATAAATTTTTTTATTTTTTTATCCACAATACTAAATCAATCTCCTGCCCTCAATACCCATTCATCGAATATTTTCATTTTCATTTCTCTTTAGTGGGTCACGACTTTGGTTTCACAACAATGCATGATGTCATCTCAACATTGATCCCTAAGTTCATTACAATATCGATATTTCAAAACTATTTCAAAATCAAAGTCTGACACTATCTCGACATTGATGCTTGACACTAGCAATTCTACACCCACAACTTGACAACTCATCTTTGTCAGACATCGTCTTAACATCGACAACCACCGCTCTCTCAACGTCAATGATAGATGCCCTCTTTACATCGATGCCCGATATGTACTGCATAACATCGATACTTGAATCTCGACAACATTATTGTCCCCTCTCTTGATGCCTGATACACGACATCGAAGCCCAACTTTCGATATCCTAATATTAAGCACAAATTTTAGTTAAATGGCTTATTATTTCTGAATTATTTTTAATATTATACTTATTCAACTTTTATACATAATGTTTTAAATATAAATTATAATATCGTGTCCAACCCGTGTTCGTGTCCTATATTTTTAATAATTGATGTATCCCATGTTGGTGTCTTGTTGTATCCGTATTGACGTGTCCATGTCTATGCATCATAAAGTTCCAAACACAAGCCCATCACATTTGACATTGAACTGCCACAACAAGAAATGATCAAAATCCAACAAACTAGACAAGATAGCTTTTAGAAATAACCACCAAAATAGTTTAAAATCATGTATTTGAATTTAAATTTGAAATATAGATTGCACCTGAGAGCAAGCTTCCTGATGCCTGCCAACAGCACAGAGAAGGTGAGTCCCTGACAGTGATTTATCAGTCCTAATCATATTGGCTGCAACAACCTGCACGAGGAATTAGAATAAGAGCTCATAAAGTTGCCTGCAAATAGAAAAAGATTTTACGAACTGATGAAGTTTACCAGATTCCATTATTTGATTTGATGTACGTAGAAATCAGCATTGATTTAAAACTCTAGAACCCCATGCCAAAACTTTTATTTTCACAAAAAAAAAAAGAAGGAAAAATCATATCGAGATTGCCAAAATGCGCCAAATCCTGGAGAACTCTACCACTAAAGGATTCTCTGGCAAACTTAAGCAGCCTCCACACAGCAGTCTGACAAAACACCAACATAACAGTGGCCAGACGCTGCCAAGCAACAATCGCAAAGCAGCAAAGAAATCCATGGAATGCGAACTTAACGTACAAACATCTAAAAATAGTTTTGAAATTTATTATTAAAGCCGCATCCAACCAAACAAAAAATTTTCAATTTCAAAATTATAATTCAAAAAATAGGCTTAGCAAAATAACAGGGGTTATCTAACCAAATAAACCTTAACTGAAAAAGAGAAAAAGACGTGTATTAAGAAATAGAAGTTTCACTTAGAAAGAAAATGCAGTCATATAGATGGGAGTTTCCAAAAATCAATTCTTTCTCAGCAAATCAATGAATGAACACCATCTGGGAAAGTTATAAAGATTTGCAACGTAGAGAAAATTGCAAGGCTTTACCTTCACAGCAAGCTCATGCAGAGATCTTGACACGGCCGAAGATAGTGCTACTGCACGCAGAGCATTTGGATAGAAATTAGATCCTTCGGGAGGGGTTGAGAGTAGCAAAGCAACAGCACCTTCCAAGTCTCCAATGGAGATAAGTCTGAGATGCATAGATATACCAAGCCTCTTAGAATAATCATTTCAAAATTAGATTCTATTAAACAAGAATACAAGCTCAAATTGCCATCATCAGTATTCCAACTATTAGAGGACAGATTAATTGAAGCACTTTTAACATTACATTGAGGCCTAACCTTTTCCTAGCTATCAATTTAATGCATTCCCCAACATTAATATGCACAGAGGTGTCAAAAGAGCTCGACAGTAGAAAAAAATTGTGTTTCCCTTGAGAACCATTTTTGTTGGGATCATTCACAAAGTAAAAAAGCTGAGCTTGATCATGAATTTTCAATTATTTTACTAAAAGAGCAAAAAATAAAGTCAACTAGATTATATTCAGCTCCATAAAATTTTGATATATACATAAATATTTAAAATGCACACACATATCTATTTGTAAGAGATCATTTATTTATGTTTTTTTACAATTAATTGCCATCAAATATATTTTAAAAATTATGAACAACAAGTCTTAAGTTCTATGAATTTAAAAAAACACTAAGATAAATAAAAGTTGTCATGTAATTGGAGCCATCAATAAAAAATTATACATGCATTTAATGGTAACTGGCTGGGCTTATTGTTAATGTTTGGCTCGATGCTCAATTAGCTAAACACGAATAAGATTTTTTTAGCTTGTTAAAAAGTTTGAGCTTATCCATGTTTGAGACATAATAGTAAATCCATCAGGCCAAACAAAGCTTCATTGCATTCATGTTTCGCTTGTTACACCCTAAACCATGTTCTTTACAAACATGATGCAAATTTATTTGATATTGTATCATCGTTTAGGTTCAAATTTTCATATTCATTGATTTTCATTTAAATAAAGCAATGCTTTAGTTCTCTAACATGATCTACATATATTGAATCATCATATTAATAAATGTAGAACTTAAACAATTAATTGATGATGCAATTTGAATGAAATCATGTTATAGTTCAAGCCAATAACATAACTACACTAAGGGTCAAAATTATATTCTTACATTCGATAGAAGAAATGGTCTTATAAATGTTTTAAATTAAATTATTAGCTTAGAAGGCTTCTTTGAAAAGTACAATATATTGGCTTTCAAAAGATTAAATGTGTCAAATAAAAAATCAGTTGGGCCAGCTCAATCATTTTGGCAAAGTAATGCATGGGTTAGGATAAAACATGAATTTAAAAGAAGGTGAATATACAAATCAATTGGATGATTAATTTAAGGACTGTAAATAAAATAATATGGTGTTTTTGAGTATCATGCAAGGCTTACAAATCTTGTAGGCAAATCTTATTTGCATTTAGATTATTTTGTTATTAATATTTATTTCACAAATAATCTAAAGCAAAAAGAGAATTGCATGAGGCTTTGATCTACAGCATTAAATATTGAGGAATATTACTACTACTTTCCTATTAAGATGATTTCATCTATGCTTTTTCTTAAAGAGCACTCAAAAACATCTCATCTAAAATCAATTAGAAATAAGCAGACACAAGAGTTATGTATGATTTAATATAATCTTAATGAAGAAATAGTATTTTATGAATATTTTTTATGAGAATGTATAAGATGCATAATATGGTATTTACAGTTTGAATCCAAAAATATTGTTGAAACTAAACTTATACTTGAACATGAATCAAAATTATATATTGATGATAAAATTAAGTATGAGATTATACCGGAACCCAAATTACTAATGGAAACTAAACATATGCCTACAAGAAGATGGAACTAAAGCAATATTGATCAAGTGGAAGAACCTTTCTAACTACGAGGCCACATGGGAGTCATACGAGAGGGTGAAACATCAGTTTCCTGATTTTCACATTGAGGAAAGGTGATTCTTTAATAGGGCGGTATTGATATGCCGGTTCAGTGTGAACAAACCCAGCCGGCCCTAATTAGGAGGCCGACTCAAATCGTGTACAAGAGGCGGAAGTAGTCTGCCTCCTCTAGTGTGTTCCGCCCAAAGGGGTGGGCTCCACTTGTCCAAGCAATTTCAAACTGAGAAGGAGTGGGCGGCTAGGGCTTGGGAGGAAAATTAAATTAAGAAAACTTTTGTATTAAAGAAGAGGAGAGGATTAGGGATGTTTATGTTTGGATTGATTGGAATTAGGATTTCTGTGTGACTTGGGCTCTATACTCTCTTGTCTAGAGATTTGGGAGAGACGATCCTCCTCTCGAATTGAGGATCTCTTGTATCTTTGCTTTGTTCTTGTTTCCTTTTGTTTTCTATAAGATTTGCTATCGCTTAATTGTTCTTCCACTACAATTTCTTCATCTTCTCACTGTTTTTATCGATTATTATAAGGTTTGCTTGCGAACTCAAGTAGATATGATAGGATTACTTGCGAACTCAAGTATTTCCTATTCAGCTTTCATCAGAGAGGTGATCAGATTACATGGAGTACTCGAGGCGATGGTATCATATAGAGATAAGGTGTTCATCAGCCATTTTTGGAGAGAGTTGTTCAGGTTACAGGGGACAATTCTAAAGATGAGTACAACTTACCACCCACAGACGGATGATCAAACGGAAGTATTCAATAGGAGCTTGGAGACTTACCTTAGATGTTTTGTATTAGAGACACTCAAGCTATGGGCTAAGTGGCTATCATGCGCTGAGTACAGGTACAACACCTCTTTTCATTCTACTTCTCAGATGACCCCATTCAAGATGTTGTACGGAAGGGATCCTCCCCACTTGGAGGACTTTGGGAGTAGCAATACCCCAGTTTCCTTAGTTAATGAGTACTTGGAAGAGAGGGATAGAGTGTTAGAAGAGCTGAAGAGACTTCTGCTGAGGGCTCAACAGAATATGAAAAAACAAGCTGATGGGCATAGGAAGGATATCCATTTTGAAGTGGGGGAAAGGGTGTTCTTGAAACCAAGGTTTTAAAAGGCGAAATCGGGAATCAAGGCGTTTTTTCTAAGCGAGGCGAGGCGTAAGCCTCGAGGCGGATCGAGGCGTAAGCCTCAAAACGATTAAAATAAATTAATTTAAAAATTTAAATAATGACAAAAAATAACAAAAATAACAATTATTTGTACTACCAATAATAAAATAACATGAATACAAATTAAAATTTAATTAATAATACTAATTATTAAATTAAGTTAAAATAGATAATTAATTCATGCACTAATTATATTATTAATTATTTAATTAATTTGTTTAATTATTAATATTTTAAATTATATTAACTAAGTTAATCAATAATAACTTAGCTGCGTCTACGGTTTGCCTTTCATCTTCTCTTTTCGTCCTTGCTGTTCGGCTTCGTTGCTTCACAGGAGGTGTAGAGATTGCACGCGTCGCTTCTTTGGCTCCTTCGTGGCTGTTCGACTTTGCTCCTTCGACGACTTTCCCTTTCCTGTCGGATCGTAAGCTACAACATTTTGATCGGAAGAAACAACGGGAGCTCGCTGACTGTGAAGGTAACTTTCTCGCTTTCGAGGCGCTGCCTCGATGCGCCTCGACGCCTCACGCGGTGAGGCGTACGCCTCCATGGAAAAAGGCGTAAGCCTCGCCCGAACGTTCGAGGCTTAAGCCTCAGTTCGCCCGACCTCCGCCTCGATTCGAGGCGCGCCTCGAGGCTTCCGCCTCGAACGCCTTTTTAATCGATGCTTGAAACTACAACCAACGACGACTATACATCCGGTTTTTCATGTATCACAGTTGAGAAATGCCTTTGGTGACTATATAGCGAACCCCGAGTTACCGGTGACACTTACCGATGATTTAGAGATGGTTCAGGAACCCTTAGAGCTGATAGGGGTTAGTCAAAAAGAAGATGTAACTAAAGAAGTGTTGATCAGTGGAAGAACCTTTCTGACTACGAGGCCATGTGAGAGCCATACGAGAGGGTGAAACATAAGTTTCCTTATTTTCACCTTGAGGATAATTTGATTCTTAGAGAGGGCGGTATTGATATGTCGGTTCAGTGTGAACCGGCCCAGCCGGCCCTATAAGGGCCGGCTCAGATCGTGTACAGGAGGCAGAAGTAGTTCGCCTCCTCTAGTGTGTTCCGCCCAAAGGGGTGGGCCCCACTTGTCCAAGTAATTTCAAATTGAAAAGGAGTGGGCGGTTAGGGCTTGGGAGGGAAATTAAATTAGAAAAACTTTTGTATTAAAGAGGAGAGGATTAAGGATGTTTATGTTTGGATTGATTGGAATTAAGGTTTCTGGGTGACTTGGGCTCTAGACTCTCTTGTCTAGAGATTTGGGAGAGAAGATCCTCCTCTCGAATTGAGGATCTCTTGGATCTTTGCTTTGTTCTTGTTTCCCTTTGTTTTCTATAAGATCTTCTATCGTTTGATTGTTCTTCCACTACGATTTCTTCCTACGATTTCTTCGTTTTCTCGTTGTTTTTATCGATTATTGTTAGGTTTTCTTGCGAACTCAAGTAGATCCGATAGGATTACTTAAGAACTCAAGTATTTCCTATCAAGATCCTCCTCATTCTCTCTATAATTCTCCATCAAACCTCTCAATAAATGTATAGCTTCCATAGTAGACCTAACCGACATGAATCCAAATTGATTTTGAGAAACATTAGTATCATGTCATAACCCATGCTCAATTACTCTGTCAACTTATAACGAAGAAGTATAGACACTTTATTATAATTAAAATGATAAAGAAAGAAATGAATAAGCATATATTGAGAAAAATATATAAATTCCTAGTCCGAGGTTGCCATGAAGAACCACAACAAGATTCACCAATCTCACATGAGAGAATTATCATCACATATCACAATAGGACATCTGAAATTGTCAAATTTAAGATTGTTTATCCTGTTCAGACATACCCATAATTTTAAAGAAAAAGATAAGAAAAAGGTGGAACTATTGATTCTTCGATGCATTTGCACCCACAAAAAAAAAACAACTGGGAAATCTACCAAATTTTCCCTCTGTAGCCTTCAAGCCACATGATAATAGCTGTTGAAATTAACAGCTGAAGACATGTGGGCTCCAAAAATTCGGCCTCGGCCTCCGCCTCCGCCTGCTGTTGCTTTTTATTATTCGGGGGAGTTTTAACGGATTCAGTTCCAAGGTAAATTTTGGGAAGGCATATGGGTTTGTAGATAAGAAACTACCCAGAGATTTCGCCCTTATTTTGCAAGGACTTTATGATCTGAGTTTTGGTTTCCCATAGGTGCAAGCCCCTATAGTTAATTACCCCTCTCGATCACGAGAGAGAACTTTCGATTAAGGCTAGTCGTCAATCAGATACGTGGTATCTGACATATAGTAGCAGCATGGGCATAGGTATTTGAAAAGTTTGAAGGTTTGCTATTTAAAATAGAAAATTTCACCATCTTGCCTTAAAGCGGATGGTGGGGGAATGAATGATAGACCCGATCAAGATCCCATGGTTCCGTTTTCTCGGGCCATCGTGGTCCCTGGACTACTTAGTCAGAGGAGGTAGTCGACCAAACCTGACAGAAGGATCCTTGTCGGCAGCCATGAGTTGCTTCTTCCATGGGGACCTTGTAGTCCTGGGTTGGATGTTTTTCTAAGGGGACAAATTTGAATCCACCTTAACTAACAGAGGACTTTGTGTCATATCGATTATATCATATTGATTCATATCTCAAGGATTTGATGCCACTAAGGAACGTATTGACTCTGGCAATAACTGGTATTTCATGATGCCATTTGGCGGCAAAACCACTCGGTTCAGAGGGGCCCGGGTCATAACCGTTTATCCCGCGGTGTCATTCAAAACCGCCGGTCAGAGGACATGCACAACGTCTTTATTGGCAGAAGATTATTTGAGAATGGATCCTAGTGATATTTTCGACCAGACATTAGCTCTTTGTGAGCCGAATTATTTTTAAATTTGTTCACCTCGTCAAATTATTGCGGAGGTGGATGAATTTCGCTTTAAGGGTTGATGGGTTGAATTTCAATTTTAAATATTTGAATTTTGGATTTTTGGATATTTGGTATGACATTTGAAATTAGTTGAATCACCCCTCCAATTGGGATCTACATTCAACAAGGCCATCATTGGGGTGACCTTGAGGTCACTTGAAAATATTTGAATTTTGTGGAAATTTGAGGACATTTTGAAATGTTTAAAATTAACCCCTCTGATTGAGATATACATTCAACACGGCCATCATCAGGGTGAAAGGGGTTAGTTTCCTTTGTTGATTGAACCCCGTCGACTCTGTTAGTTTGCCGAGAGAGGATCGGGTTTCATAGGTTTTATGCTTTTATTAGTGAATTCTCATTGTTATAGGCCTTGAAGGCCTAATATGAATTTATTAAGATAAATATAATGATCTCAGCAACCGTATATTTGTTTGATGGTTCGAACCCTGTCGGCTACTATTGATCCGCATAAAAGGATTGCGTTTGAATTTGAATCCACTAATTGATCGGCGTAACATCCCTAGACGTCACGTGTGTTTCAAAAACACGCTCGCTGGGGCTCATGCGGATTTTGTGATTGTATTTACCCCTTTAGTGTACTTATGTGTATACAAATTATAGTGCATGTGCGAGGGTACTTTGAAATATTTGTAAACTCCTTATATCCGCTCGCATGAATGTTGTGGATCCGGTGGCATAGCATTGTAGTCTTGTGGACGCCTTCTGTCTGCTCGTATGAGTGTTACAGATCCGATGGCATAGTGTTGTAACTTGTAGACGCCTTATGTCTGCTTGCGTGTGTGTTGCAGATCCGGTGGCATGTTATAGCAGCTTATGAATTGAGTTGTTTACTGCTTTGTACATGTAGACTGTCGTGCACTACTTGTCTCTTTTTGTAGGTGGATTGTAGTGCATTAACTAATCTCTTGCTTTTTTTGTAGATACTTACATTCACTGCAAGTCTTTTATATCTTTTGGCAAATAGTGCATTGTACATACAAGGAGTATCCTACAACGACCCATAGGAACCTGCACTTGTTATAGTCCTTTATACATTTCTGCTTGTAGATGACATGCCAAGTGTAGGGTGGTCTCTTGCAACCTTGTAGACATTTGTACTTCGCTACATATCCTCTGCCCTTACTTGTAGGGAGTCGGTATGTTTGGTGGATGTTAGACAAATGTTGGCCATGGAGGTGCTATAGTATTTTTTGCTACAACAACAAGTAGGTACACTGAATGTGTTGTGAACATTCGTATGTTGTTTGACGTACATTTGTAAGGGGCTTCACTCTTTGCTGGGTTTATTATGCTTGTATGCTTGTTGAAATTGATGATAATATGTTGTTGTTATCTTTCTAAATATGTTCATGGGTAATTACAAGACTCATAACATGTCTATAACTGTCATTCACAAATAAACTAGTGTGTTCATTTGTACGCCTTTCCCATAAGCACACACGAGCTTTTCGTAGTTATTTGAATTCATCATTTGTTATGTCTTGTATATTTGGATTCATCATACGTCATCTACCCAACTCTTCTGCTCGTGGGGGATTCACGTATTCGCTAAATGCTTGAATGATTTTGACTATGAGAGTGCCTTTGTAATCATCACATGTTGCAATTGCTATTGTTGTTCACTCGAATACACGTCAAACCAAATATCGGTTCATCGCATGATATTTTAATCTTGTTTCATGTAATCTTTCCAAGTTAGATCCTTCATGATTCATTCAAATTTGGGTTCAAGTGTCCAAGTCTTGTCCACTTGATTCAAGTTATGAGCATAGTTCCATATTGTCAACTTGTATGTTAAGTTCAATGTCAAAGCTCTTTGTGATCATATTGAGTTCAGGTTCTAGTTCAGCATACCAATTCAAGTCCTCTTGCATATGATTCAAGTTTGAGTTCTTTGTCAAATTCAAACTCTAATCCAAGTTTGAACTCAATGTCATTGTAGCTCATATCACATTCAAGTTCAAATAAATTTACTCCATGCAGTCAAACTTGATTCAAGCTCTTTGTTCAATCCAAGTTAAGTTGCTAATTAAAATGGTTCAAGTCTTGATTAATCATTTGATTTGTGTTCAGATACAAGTCCTTATAGTTCATGCTCAAGTCCACTAGTTCGTGTTCATTTGAGTCCATATCAGGTCCGAGCGCAATCATATGTTCACCCGAAATTTCGGCAGCCTCCCGGCATCTCCGTCTTTTAGGGGAAAACTAAAGAAAACTGGGCCTCCCACCACGCGAAAAGAGTGTACGGTAAGTGCCCTTGAACGAGGTCACCGCAGCCGTGAAATCTTCAACCCCACCACGCCAAAGAAAGGAGTGTATAGGTCTTCAGTACCTATTGCAAAAGAGCAGTTGTTTCCCCGCAAGCGAGTACTTATGAGCATCCCCATCTTGCCGTAGGCATCACACCGGGTTGCCATCCCACCACGCTAGAGAAAAGCGCGTATAGGCGATTTTCCGATGAGCTACGAATGCCGATAAAGAGATTTTAGGTGATCACCCAATTCGTCGAGAGCACCGCGACGAACTTCCTCCCACCAAGCTAAGAAAAGTGTGTATAGGTGGCCGTTTTGACGCGTTACACGTGTCAAAATCGGGCTCTCGAAGTTTTAGGGTTTAGAGGGGTTATACCTTTGCAACATCAACGGAGTTGGCACACATATTGAGGCGAGCATTTAATTTATAATTAGTGATAAATTAACTATAATGAATTGTATTTAATATGCAACTAATTATATTTAATTTAAAATTTATTACAAATTAATTATATTTAATTTATAATTAATTAAAAAGTAATTATAATTAATTACATTTAATATATAATTAATCATATTTAATTTAAGATTAATTATAAATTAATTATAAATAATCCCTAATAATAATAATTATTATAATAAGTATATAACAGTAACTAATAACAGTAATTAGTAAAAGAAACATTAATTAGTATACTAAATAAACTAAATATAATAATAATTATTAACTAGTAATATTAATAAATATACCTAGGGCTCCTATGAGTGCTCGGGCAGGAGGCAAATGCGGCAAGGGGAGATAGAGGCAGGGGTCGGGTGCGGGATTCAGTCGCGGGAGAGATCAGACAAGGTGCGGCTAGGTATGGAGGAAGTCGAAGGCTTGGAGGAGGTAAGGAAGAAAAATCTCTCTCTCTCTCTCTCTCTCTCTCTCTCTCTCTCTCTAGATCGGGAGGAATCGAGAGGGGTGCGGCTGCGAGCAAGGCATCGGAGAGGGGAGAAAGCTCTGTGGAGGCTTGCGGGATTTCTGTGTGCAGAGTGCGACGAAGGAGGCTCTGGCGGGTCTCATTTTAACGACGAGAATGGAGGCTCTATCGAGGTGAGTGCGGGATATGCGGGAAGTGATGCGAACGGCGCCGAATCGGCGCGATTTTAGCATGTCGTGGATCTGACGGGTAAGATGTATGGTTTTGAGTCTCCCTTTTTTTGTTCTTTTGGTTATAGCATGGAGGTCAACAAGACATCAATAAATGTTCACTTTGCGCAAATACCACTAGTCATATTCTGCAAAAGACAAGGAAGATACAATTTTCCTTGCCGATACAAATGTATATTTGTTTTCCTGAGTTATGAGAAGAATAGTCTGCAAACAAATTTCCTACATTTGCAATTGATGACTGTTCAGAGGTTTTCTAACCAAATTTTTTACAATGCAGAGATTGAAATGCAACATCAGAATTACGATATTACTAAGCGTTCTAGGAGTATGACCTCAAGTAAAACAATATAAATAACATCTAATAAAACTATCAAACATAAAGGTCCAAGAAACAACTCACTCATGTACTTGCTTCTGGATTGCTTCTTCTCCATCTAACTTCTCATGCCATAGTATTCGTTCATTTGCATCAGCCCTCAATTCCTGTTGCTTGAAGGCCATCAAATTTAGTTGCCCGAATTTCTGCAGATCAAAAGCCATTTCTTCAGCAAAAATTGATAAACATAAGAAGAGAAAGTGGAATAGTTGGCACTGAGTATAGACTAGGACATGGATGTGAGCAAGCAAAATAAAGATTCAAAACTTCAAAACAGCTGTATCTATAGTTAAAGAAAAGTAATCAAGAGTAACACAAAGTTGGGAACATATTGAATGCAGTTACATCTTCGGAAAAATCAACAAATACTAGAATATGCCACAATCTTCTGGAAGATTTATCTAACCGTGGTCTCTTGTCTCCTCCTGCCTGAAGCAGATTTCTCCCTGGACGTTATTCTATTTAACATTGCTATACTTTCTGTATCTGAAAGTGATGCTAACTGAGATGCTTCCTGGGAGGATTTCTTGGATGATTTTTCTACGGCATGAGCAAGAGCACGGGGCAGCTGTAACCAGAAAAGAGCTTCTGAAAAATCTCCGAAGATTGCAGCAGCAAAGGCAGATCTTGCAGCAAAACCTTTATTTGCTAGAGAAGCATATGATCGAACACGTTCATCATCAAGTATGCAACCTTCAGGAAAAGAAAGTGGGCATCAATATATATTACACTTTATAAGACTGTGTTAGGATAGCATTTAAAATAGCTGTGACATACCTTCTCTACGATATGGTTCTAAAACCTTCAAAAGCAATTCGGGCACTACTGCATCACCTACAGAAGGTAATGTTGACTCAATAATGTAACCACGAAGATCTCCAGCAGCAGTTGTTTCTGTCTCAGCTATATTCCCAAGTGAAGCATCCTTACATACACTAAACAAACTGAACCAAGAGGGTTTTACACCAGACTGAATGATCATTCGTAGTGCCTGTCACACGATATCAGTGATTCTTAAAGCTCCACAAATTTATCTTTTCTATAATACTATTAAAAAGAGACTAGAATCTTAACCATGTATTTATAAAAAAGAATCGCATTCCTTCGTTTAAAATTATAATTTCAATATAAATCTATTTTTTTCATAGTTTAAAAAATCGTTCGAGCACGGCTTGAGGAGTGCCTCGAATTGAGGTGCACAATGAGCTCCTCGAATTGATGTGAACAATAAGCGCCTCGAGGCTTAAGCCTCGCTAGTGCCAGTGTGGCTTATGCCTTTTTTTAATGAGGCACACATCTCGAGGCTCAACGCTTCGAGGCAACGCCTGATTAGAGTTAAGTTTTATAATTTTTTTATTATATATCATTATTAATAATATATTTATTTTATTCTATTATATAAAGAGAAGAAACAAATTAGCTATTGGACGAATGAACAAGGTTGAATGATTATGTTATGTTTAATAAAAAATTGAAAGATAATTACTTCAAATATAGATTCGAATAACTGGTGATAACCAAAATAAATCATATGATTGTTAATGATATATTTTCAAATGATGAATAAATAATAACAAAAAATAGTAAAATATTAAAAATTGAAAATAAAGGAATGCATTTGATGATGAGAAGAATGAAAATATCAATGCTAATATTAAAATGATTAATGAATTATTAAGGAATGTATTTGATGATGAGAAAAATGAAAGTATCAATGCTAATATTAAAATGATTAATGAATTGATAATAAGTTCTACTTCACAAGTAATTTAAAGTAAAGTAGCAAAATGAAGTTCAAACTTAAAAAAAAAATTATCAAATGGTGATTTAAATATAATGGATTACTTTGTTGTGTTATTAATATGTTGTTTTGTTTTATATTACATTGAATCCAATATTATTTAATATAGAGAGTTTAAAAACAAATTATAATTGAAGAATGCTTAGAAGATGACAATGAGTCAAAATTCGATGATGAAATAATTATTACATACGAGAGTTATTATGAAGAATATGAAAGTAAGAATGAGACCAACTTGGATTCTAATCTTTATGGTGTACTTAAGTTTTAAATTAGTGTTTACTTTGAATCTCATTTCAAAATTACATTACATAATAACATTCAATATTGAGATTTATAGTTTATATATTTATAATGATGAATCAAATATGTAGATGTTTTATTTTATTTTTGCCATTTTTATGAATTATTTTTAAGTTCATGTTTTTTTAGGATTACACCTCACCTCACTATGACAAAACGCCTCAATTCCCGAATTTTTTCCTTTTTAAACCTTGATTTTTTTATATCATAACACAAAAAAAATCAAATCATATTCAACTAATTTCCTACGTTAAATCCTAATGTAATTTCATATTTTACCTATCTTATTTACATTTATTCATTTTATTAGAAAGAGACGTCAGATTCATATGGAAATTAATCCATTTTTTATCAAACACAATTTGTCAAGCTAATTACTTTTTTAGATTTAAAAAAATTGAAAATATTATAAACAGCATTTAATATTAAAATAATGATGCTTATTTTATATTTGCTTAGATGCTTGTAAGACATAATATTATTTACTTTCATGTAATTTAGTAGTAAATAATTTTAACGTCGCATGGAAATTTAAATAGGCATATGCTAAAAAATGCTTAAACAAAATAATCTACCTAAAGAGATCAAAATTAAAATTCTTATATGGCCTGAAAATTTCATACATATTTCAAAAAGCTATGAGTAATTATTGCTCATGCATTATGACCAAATATATACAATTTCATTTGAAAAAATGATGAATTGATGGAAATCTATGTTTTAACCTCTCATCAGAATCTACATTTAAGTAATGCTCTGAGAAAAATTTGTTTGACTTCGTTAGTTTCTTTGGTCTATTTCATTTTGTAATTTCTATAATTTAGAACAAACATGTGATGAGGGCATCAAGAAAGGGATGAGCTTACTATTTCGTTAAATTAAGTTGATCTATCCAGCTGGAATGCAATCAAGTTGATATGGTTTCGGACAAATCTATAGTTAAAAACCATATTTCAACTCAAGCGTCGTGTTAAATTGTGTTAGTGATGTCGGATTGATGTGAAGCCGACTGTTTTGGAGTTGCTACTATGGCTTTCTATTTTTCATTAGGTGTTGTTTAGTCTGCTTCCTCATGGCTACTCTTGCACCTACACACTTCTCCTGATTACTATTATTGTTGTTATGGGCTGCCTACTTTTGTAAGTATTGTTATGCCTCTTTCCCAATTATTGCTAGGTCTCCTGATCCATGATTTGCTCAGCCTTTTGTGCCATGCTTTCATGATGTCCACAAGCTTGTGCTACAAATGCAAATTATAGATACAATCAAAGTTAAATTTGATGATTATTTGGAATTAAATTTAGTTGATCTTTATGCCAAACATATCTACTAACCTAAGAATGAGGTCTATAAATAGATGATCTAAAACATGTTATTGGATAACTTTTATTTAATAATTTTTTTCATCTGGTTTTCAATTTTGTATGTACACGTTGAATATGTGATTCTATCGAGTGTGGTAAAAACAATGTTATCAAAAGAAAGTCAAGCGTTCACTTAAGCGCCGGGGCAAGGTGAGGCTCCAACGTGTCAAAAACTACCAAGGTACTTGATGTAAAACGGAGACGCCGGCTTTGTTACGGAGAGGATCTCTCCAAAATCTGAACACAAGCCTAGGTGAGGCCTTGGAAAATTTCAGCCTTGATGGTGAAGAGGAAAACTGAGAAGAAATTTAGATTTTGGGAAGGGGATGGGGAAGAAGTTCCAAAACTCCTTTTAAAATCTGTAATATTACTTCAGAATTTTAATCAAAATCTGAGAGCAAATCGAGGGGTAAACAGCAGCTTTTGACTCTTAGAAGTCTTGGACAGCAATTCGTCTTCCCACACAGCAGCTAGAGCTAGGAAAGCGCCTTGGTATCAGACATTAGACATTCAGACACTCATTTTCATACAACAACAACATAAAGCCTTTGTCCCACTACATGGGGTCGGCTACATGAATCCTTTTTCACCATTATGTCATGTTAAAAGTCAAATTCTCATTTAAATCTAATAAAGAAAGATCATTTCTAATATTTTCTAACAAAGTCTTTTTAGGTCTACCTCTACCTTTCTAACATAAGTCAAATCTAATACCTTAACTTTCCTAACCAGGTCATTGGAAGGCCCCCGTTTAATGTGCCCAAACCATCTAAGGTGACTCTCTAATATTATATTCCACTGGAGCTACTCCAAGCTTTTCACGTATATGCTCATTTTGTATCCTATATCTAAGAGTAAAGCTACTCATCCACCTAAGCATCCTCATCTCTGCAACAATTAACTTAGTATTCTGCTTCTCTTTTAATGGCCAACATTCGGCACCATAAAGCATTGCAGGTCTCACCACCATCTTATAGAATTTTCCCTTAAGTTTGAGGGAACCTTTTCTATAGCACAACAAGCCCGATGCATTCCTCTACTTCGACCATCCAACTTGAACTCTAAAACGTGTACTTTTATTAATGACTTGATCGCCCAAAGTCACAATCCCCTCACTAGGTCTATTGCTACTAAAATTACACTCCATATATTCAATTTTAGATCTACTCAAGCGAAAACCTTTGGACTCTAAGGTTGGCCTCCACAATTCAAGTTTACCTTCAACTCCCTCTCTAGTTTTATCAACAAGAAGAATACCATCAGTAAAAAGCATACACCAAGATCTATGATGCACCGACATGGACACGACGACACGGATACGGGACACGACAATTTTTTAAAAAATAAGACACGGGTGCAGCGTGGACACGACATATTAATTTTTTAATATAATATATAATAATTTTTAAAAATATAGGACATGGACATGGCGTGGACAGATGGTTCTTTTAAACCTTCACATAATCCACTCCCGCCAGCAGCAGAGTTCATTTTGCTAACAAACCAATCATACATATGAATACATCAAATTAAATTGATATGAAGTGAAATCAAAATATCCCAATAATAAGACAACATGAATACATGATGCATGCAAAGGAGGGGGGTCAAAACAATATGAGAATTTGTTTTGACCCTTGGGCTGCTGGTGCTCTCGGTTTGGGCCTTGTTTGCTTTGATTTAGAGTTAATTTTTGGGATCTACTTGGTTCTAGCTCATAAATGCTTAAGTTGTGACTTTAGCTCATTAATTCAAAAAGGTATTATAATATTTCTTGGATTCATTTTGGAGTGGACTTGCCTCTTCTCCTCCCCTATGTCTTCTTGGTTTCTTGTGCTGGCTGGTTTTCCCGTGCCTAGCCCCTTTGTTTCCTGTGCTGCCTGGTTTTCCCGTGCATGACCCCTTTGTTTCCTGTGCTGGCTGGAGTTCCCATGCCCTGGTGCTTGGCCTCCTGTGCTGGTTTTTCGGGTCTCATGCTGGTTGTTTTCCTGTGGCATTTTGGGGGGAAATTTTCGTGGCTTTCACCCTATTTTCTATGCAGTTTTCTGCTGCAGTCTTTGCTGTCTTTTAACATTCTAATTGGTGACTTTTGGCCTTTTATTTTCCCAATTCCTATTAGCTTTGGTTGGAGGTGATATGGCTACTTGTCTACCTTCTTTTGCCTATAAAAGAGAGTTAGTTTGGCATGAAAAAGAATTGTTATAAAAGAATGGTTATGTGGCTGATTTTTGGAAGAAAACCTATGGGTTTTGATTGTTAGCTTGCGAGCTATGTATCCCCTTCTCCTTCTTCTAGGATAACTTGCGAGTTATGCCTCCTTCGTCTCGGCTTCTAATCTCTTTCTTCTATCCGCAAGTGTCGTTCCACCTGTATCCTTCTTCTCAACATTTGGCAAGCAGTTTTAGGAAAGTCGTTGTCTTTATTGTGTCATTTGTAAGTGTCTAAGTTTGTAAGTCTTTTATATTATTAAAGTGAAGTTGTTTTCAATTTAAGTGACATTTTATGTTGTAATTTTGGTACTTC